CCCCCCAACCCTCACTCAGACTCCCCATTCCCATTCTTACCTAAATCGACAAACACCAATAAGGACTAACCCCCGGCAAGATAACCGCCTCCCTCCCACCCACCACCGACCCCACCTCCCCCTCCTCGAAACCGCTCATCCTCATCGACGTCCGCGAACCCGCCGAACTCAACGCCACAGGCATCATCCCCACAGCCGTCAGCGTGCCGCTGGCCTCGCAGCCCGACGCGCTGTTCCTCACGCCGGACGAGTTCGAGACGCGGTTCGGGTATCCCAAGCCTGGGGTGGAGCAACCCGCCGCCGAACAAGCAGGTGCAGGTGCCGGTGCAGGTGCGGATTCGTCGTCGCCGATTGTCTTCTACTGTAAGGCTGGGGTGCGGGCGCGCGCGGCGGCGCAGTTGGCTGTGCAGGCCGGGTATGATGCGAAGCGCATTGGGGTGTATGATGGGAGTTGGTTGGATTGGGCGGATCGTGGGGGGAAGGTGGAGCGGTGGGAGGGGGGGGATGATTAGTCTTTCTTTTATTTGTTTCTAAGGAAAAGACTTGGTAAAAGAAGATGGATTGGTTTTGCGTTGAAGGATTGAAGGAGTGTGATTTTGAGGGTTGAGAGTTGAAGTTCAAGTGTTGTGTTGTGATGTATATATGTAGTATCTATGGGTAGGTTGTTTGTATGTGTGGTGGGTGTCATACTCCTGTGGATTCTACGAAATACTGTCTCATGGAGAGGAGAATAATTTCTCATGGAGTTGTCTATTTTATGGTTTATGGTGACAAATTCATGCAGTGGTGATATACATCCAGTGGCATACAATATTGACGAAAAACTCAATTCGAACTAGATCCATAACTAGCATAACAAGAAAGGTATCCACCACGGCTAGCTTTTTCCCACATCAAAGGTCATGTACAGGCATCTTCTTGCTTTTGTATTGGTGATAAGAAAAAAGTCGTAGTCATTCCTCATTCAGCAGGGTGGGCCCTTCTCTGTCTCTTTTCCACTTCCAACGATCCAATGATTCATCCTCATATATCCCTGGGTAATAATGGCCAGCTATCGTGCTCTCTAATACCTGCCGAGCAAGCGGTGATCACGACATGGTCACAGCTGAATCCCAAAGCTCGAAGACGATATGATAATCCACAATCCCCCCAGCCCGTATAGGAACTGAGTGCTTCCCGAGTCACAGCCTGACCAACCGTTTATCGAATCGGAATCATCCGGGTCAGCTCCGGAAGCCCCAGCTAGAGAAGCTGTGGAAGCGCTCATGGAATGTCAAAGACAGGCTTAAGCTTCTTGACAAGACCCCATTCCTCCATCGTCACGTCTGAACGGTAGAACTCCTTCAGGGTGTCGATACTGGCACGAGAGATCTGCGAGTACAAGGTATCCGACTCTTCGAGCTGACGACCGTACATGGGCTGGTTGGCACCCTCAATCTTGACCGCAACGGAGGGTTGACCCTTCTTGCAAATAGGGATGGCCTTGTGGTCACGCTCAATGGAGGAACTATTTAAGGTTAGTCACTCAGGTCAAACAATCATGAAAGGTTCGAGACTTACACTCTGCCGACGTTGATGATCTCCTTTGCGCCGGTCTCGGCGTTGGTCTTCACCGCAGCAATCGGAGTGTGCAGACGCAGACTTCCCTCAACAACATCAACACCAATGACGATAGGATCCTTCTTGTTGAAGACAGCAACGGTCTTGAGCACGCAGGGGAAGACAGCAAGCAGCTTGCTCTCCTCCTTTCTCTTCTCCTGCAGCTCGGCCATGTGCTTAGTGAAGTCGTCGAACAGGTGGTAGATAATATCGGCGGTGAAAATCTTGACGCCAACTTCCTCAGCGTAGGCAGCCGCTTCCTTGTCCACCTTGACATCGAAACACAGCATAACGGCATACTCCTTGGCCTTCTCCAACATGGTTCCGGCCATCATGACATCACGCTTGTAGACAGGACCAATGGAAATGTTGGCGACCGGAATTTTGGAGACACGCAAGAACTCCAGCAGCGCCTCCAGGGAACCAAGGGTGGAGGCCTGGACGCTGACACCACGCTGGTCTCTGGACACCTTGCTGAGCAGGTTCTCGAGATCAGACATGACCTCGTCTTCAATGTCTTCCTCGTCGTCATCAGGTCCAACAACCATGAGACGAGAGCCAGCAATGGCCTGCTCGAGATCGTTGGCAGCAATCTTCACACCCAAGGCGGCCTTAACTTCCTTGTTGTGAACGTACTGCGACTTCAGACGCAGTTCCTTGAGCGGTGCCGGCGTCAGAAGAGCTCGAATATTCGTTGCTATAGGGCCGTTAAGACCGCACAGTACAATTCGGTCACCCTCACGAAGGATACCGTTGGACAGGACGACGTCAATAGTGGTACCAAGACCCTCGATGACCTTGACTTCCAGAACGGTACACTCAACTTCGGACAGATACATCAGGGAGTTGGTCATACGCTCCTGAGTCAAGGTGGTCAAGAGCTTCAGCATGTCGGGAATACCCTCACCGGTGTGAGCGGAGGTGGGAACGAGGGAGACGTTGCGGGCCATCGACTTGTTCTCGCAGTACAACTCGGCGTTGAAACCCTGCTCAGCGAAGAGCAGCTTGGTGCGCTCAAGGCGAGTACGGAACTCGTTCTGGACACCCTTACTCTGCATAGCCAAACTCTCCTGGAAACCGTTGTTGTCGATCTTCTTCCAGCCGTAAAGACGATCGATCTTGTTGAGCGCAACAATGAAAGGAGTCCGGCGGTCACGGAGCAATCTCATAGACTCGAGAGTCTGAGGCTCGAGACCGTGCATGATATCGACGACCAGGATGGCAATATTACAGAGGGAAGAACCACGGGAACGCAAGTTGGAGAAAGACTCGTGACCGGGGGTATCAATGACCAGCAGACCGGGAATCTTGAATTCGAACTTGCCGTCCTCATTGACAACCTGAGTCTTCTGGCGCAGAGCATCGACCGGGAAGTAGGTGGCACCAATCTGCTGCGTAATACCACCAGCTTCGCCTTCCTGAACGTTCGTCTGACGAATCTTATCCAGCAACTTAGTCTTTCCGGTATCGACGTGTCCCAGAATACAGCAAATGGGGGAACGGAGGTTGTCCTTGGAACGAGCAGCCAGAGCTTCCTCGTGCTGCTTCTTTCTGCGCTCGGCGGCCTCTGCCTTCCGCTGAGCGATGGCCTTCTGGGCCGCGGACTGCTCATCCTCCGAATCCTCTTCAGAAGAAGACTCATCAGATTCGTCGCTCTCCTCCTCGTCCTTCTTAGCAGAGGCGGAAGCAGCCTTCTGTGCACCGTTGGTGGCAGGCTTCTCCTCCTCCTCATCCGAAGGCGCATCCCAGCTGTCCTTCACATCGTCCTCATCGGCAGCCTTCTCCCAGTCATCGACCTCACTGTCCTCATCGCCACCCTTGGCGGCAGCGGCGGCCTTAGCCTCAGCCTTAGCCTTCTCCTCCTCTTCCTTTCTCCGGCGCTCCTCCTCGGCTTCACGCTGAGCCTTGGCGCGAGCAGCAGCAGCCTCCAGATCCTCCTCCTGCTTCTTGGGGCCACGCTTCTTGCGGTTATCGTAGACGGGCTTCTTCTTCTCAGCACCGCCTTCCTCGAGACCGGCGACCTTGCCGACACCAGCTGCAAGCATCTGCTGCATACGACGCTCGTTGCGCTCCTTGGCTTCCTTCTGAGCCTTGGTGAGGAGTTTTCCTTCTCTGCGGAGCTGCTCCTTCTTCTCCTTCTCCTTCTCCTTCTTGCGTTGACGAGCCTCCTCCTTCTTCTTTTCTTCTTCCTCCTCGCGGCGACGTCTCTCCTCCTCGGCGGCGGCCTCTTCGGCCGCCAGACGCTCGGCCTCCTCTTGCTGCTTGCGCAGGGCTTCCTGCTGCTTCTGAATGGCGAGCAAGTGTGCGGGAATCTTCTTCTTCTTGCCACCAGTAGCAGGCTCGGGGGCGGCAGCAACAGGAGCAGGAGCTTCCTCCTTCTTGACAGGCTCAGCCTTGGCGGGTTGGGCCTTGGTCTCGGCGGGAGCAGTGGTCTTCTTCTTCGCAGCCTGTTTAACAGAGAGAAGAGCAGAAGCGTTAGCAATCAAATCATAAATCCCAAAGCGGATACCAGTCCACACATCCTCCTCCTTCCATAGCCGCCTCCGCGAAAGCCGGATAAAACATACCTGTTCCTTCTTCCGCTGCTTCTCCCTCTCCTTCTTCTCCCTCTCCTTCTCCTTCTTAGACTTCACACGGATCTCACCATCATCCCCAGCATCCTTGGGCGCCGGGGCGGCGGCGGCGGCGGCGGCGGCGGCGGCAGCAGCAGCGGCCTTCTTAGGCTTGGCCTTTCCAGAAAAGACATCATCCTCGTCATCGAAGCCACCCTCCTCCGGCTGCTTGTTGGAAAAGTCGTTGGCGGCGGCGGCGGCGGCGCCGTCGGTGTCCTGAGAGGCATCCTCTCCTTCGACGAAGTCGTTGACGGGCTTGCCCTTCTTGCCCTTCTTGGCCTTGTTCTTGCGGAGGGCGGCCAGCAGACCACCTCCCATGCCATTGCCCTCCTCCTCGGCGGGAGCACCGGCGGCGTCCTCAGCAGGAGGGGACGCAGTGGCCGGGGCAGACTCGCCCAGCTCGGCCTCCCAGTCCTCTTCCTGTCTCTTGTTTCCCTTCTTCTTGGGCGCCATGGTTGAAAGGTTATATAGGAATGGTTGCTCTTTTCGAAATAACCTGATTTGTTTTTGAACAAAAGTCGATGTTAGTAAGAGAAAGATCAAAGAACTCGAATTCAGGGAAACCTGTCCCGCTAAAGAGTCAGACGGAGAGAGTAGGTTGCGCGCACGATGGCAATCACCCAGCTTGCTTGCTACCGGTTTGTCTCGGGGCCCGTAAGGCCTGCGGTAGTCGGGATGGGGGCAAAAAAAAAAGCCGGCACGAGTGGCAAATGAAGGGTAATGAGTGCGAACGCGAGAAAGCGGACACACAGGTAGAGGGGATACAGGGCAGGGAGTGGGAGAGACAATACCTTTTCCCACCTCTCAAGTGGATTGTGATAAGGTCGGGTCCAAGGCTGGAGACACGAATGGAGCGGGAAGGAGGAGTGCCTTTTGGGGTAATTAAGAATTTTGGGCCCGGCGGTGGTGGGGATCGGCTTATGCGAGACTTGAGTTGAGTCCCTCCCGTCCTCCTCCTCCTCCCTTTGTGACTTTGAGTTCCGCCAGTTGGTGGTCGCTGCCCGCTGCACTCATCGTCTGCATACTACATACTATTGTCTGGTAGAATTATCTACTTGATCAAATTTATTTTTAAACTGGACAAGTCAATCGGTATCATAATGCTCTATCTAGTATAATGAACCCCACCACGCTTTTCTAAAATTCCACCTGAAGAACTCGTCGTAACCACCCTATCGCTGATTCGGCCGGAGAACTAGTCTCCCCAAGTACATCTCGCGTGAATTCTAAGAATCGCTCCCAGATCATCTGCGCTGAGTGATGAGCTTGCCCGTTAATCTCTTCGGAGTTCAGCAATCGAAGCAGGTCCTGAGTCCCCCGCGTCAAGAGGCGACTCAAGCAGTCGCCGTCAATGTGCATTTGAGTTGGTTGGTCGACCAAGTTGGTCGGATTGCGTTGTCGTTGTCTTCTGGGCGTGAAGGGACATAGTATGGGATCCCTTATGCACAGATTCTGTAGCAGGCGAAGAAGACGCCATTCTTTCTCATTGATAGGCAAGAACCGGTAGATAGTACCATTCATGGCAGTTCCGTAGATCACTTGAGACTGAGACGACAACGGGGATCTTCTAGCTCCTGTGCCCAGTCTTATCACAGAAGAGGGAAGATGCGCCTCGCACAAAGCTGAAGACATCGTGGTATCGCGCTCATCAAGCCCATCCTCTGTCAAGATACTGACCCGGCCGGCTCGGCTGGAGGTCAAGATGAGATTTGAATAGCCATCAAGATGGACGTGGGAAAGACCATCGTGCTTCAGACGGTCCTGCGCATGAAGAGTCAACTTGTCTTCGCCAGCCTTCAGAATCACGAGTGACTCTCGGGAAGTTGTAAGATACAAATAGGGCTCACGCGCCGTCATGAGGATCGCAGGCGAATGGACATTGTACCTTGCTGTCCGAATACCTTGATTGTGAGAAAGCTTGGGCTCTAGCGGTACGATTGTGTGGCCGGTCGAAACCATCAACGTAAAGTCACCATATGGAACAATGGAGAAGACTGGATTCTCAAACTTATGGATGTGCTTCACATTGCATTCGATGTGTGACGGATTGTTCGGATCTCGGTATGTCTGGAGGAAAATGACTCTGCCACGTTCCTGCTGTTTCCTGCGTGAAGTACCAATGACGATGAAATGATATTCTTCACCATCTTTCCTGGGCGTCCACTCGAGTATGCAGCTGATTTTCTCCCCAGCCGCACTCTGTGGTCGCCAAGGACGACTACTATCACTGGTGGTAGGGTTATCCGGAGTCGTGGCCATCGAGCTCTGCGAATCGGGGTCTACAAACTCGATATATGACCGTGTGTAGCGTTTGATGGGATCGGTATCCGTATCATACGCGGTCTGATTGTAAGCCACAATCAAACTCCTTAGATGCCGCGAGTACATGAGTTTGCTAGCACTTCCTGGTAGGTCAATCCTTCTCGGCACAGTTTTCGGTTTCTGATCCAGAGTACAGATCATCAGTTGGCCATCAGCGACACAGAAGAGAGTATCAGAAAGAGTCTCTGCGCCTGGACCTCCTACGGCTGCGATGCAAAAACTATTGATTGTGCTTGGATGATAGGCAGGCTGACAGTTTGATTAGTACTTCTGGTTCCAAAGGGGTGTTATGGAACTAACATTGTTTTGGTCGGTGATCCAGACCCGTTGCGTTAAATAGCTAGCCGTGACTGATTCACGACTGCATGATACCTGCCAGAATCCATGGCCACAAGTCAATAGCGCGATGTCGCCCCTACTTTGCACTTTCACTGACGTGTGTCCTAGCCGCTGCGGTTCTAATTGCTTGAATGCTATCACAGTAGGAAGTTAGTTTGGCATAATGACTGAGAGGTGTGAGTGCTTACCGTCGAGAGAGAGGCCTGTCTCGCTGTCAATCATTACCTCGAAAGGAATGAGGATTCCACTTCGAAGGCCGCACAGCAGAGTGTAATGGTTGGATAGGCCGCTACCTGTAGTTGTGATCATCGCAAGGCTATCAATGGCCTTGGAAATATCGTCGGGCCCCTCGACCTTTATGGTTATCTCAGACATGAGAGAAACGGTGTCCGTTACGCGATATACCAAGATTTTGCCATTGCCCGTGCCTATGAACACGTATGTGCACAAGTCCAATGTCTCGATGGACATACATACTGGACTGTAGCAGATGAGCAAGGCTGGGCCGACATCCTGCAGCTGGGCTTGACCACTGCCGAAATTGAGTCTCTTGAGATGAAGATGTACCTCATGTGATGTTCGGACCGCAGCAGCAACAAGCAACGATGACCCGTTCACAGCAGCGACCACAATATGATGCTCAGGACCATACTCATGCCGATAACACGACCACAGATCAGAAGTCGCCCCAATGTGAATGGCCTTGTCCGTAACTTGAATGATGGCTCCCGTGTCAGTACATCCGGCGGCTAAAGTCTGTGTGCCATAGTCGAGGCCGGATTCCTTCTCATCAATAGCAGAGATCTCCTCCATATAGTCAGCAGCCAGATATAGGAGTACTGTAGACACGGGGTCAGTTGTCAATATGAATATGCCTCCATTCATACTGTCTGACATGATCCAGATGTCTGCCGTGCTCGACAATTCTTCTAGGGACACAACCAAGCCACTCTGTGCCTCAATGCCATGACGAAGCTCTACCACTGCCCCGCGCGCGTAGGAAGAAGCTGAGCAAACAAAAAAGCGATCTCCTGGTACCCCTGAATTTGAGGCATTATCATCTCTGACGATAACAGAGTCTGTGACTGGTGTCCAATTCATGAACCGTTGAACACATCTCGGATGATCCCGTGCCTTCTGCACAAAAAGCCCACCGTCTCCAGTTGTGCCGGCCGCAAGAAGTAGGTCACCGCCCTCGTATCCGATATCCAAGATGTCAAAGGCAGCGTCGACGTCGCAGCAAAGCTGTCCTAGATGGGTTTGATTCTCCACTTCACCCTCATTGCCAACGCTCAGATAGAATACCCTTCCGTCCTCTCGACATAGGTAGATGTCATCGTGTTTCTGATTGTATAGCCAATTGCGCAAAGGCCTTGCCCATCTGGTCCAGAGCGGTTGTCGCTGAGATTCACGATCGGGGACTGGAAGGGGGTATCTAGTGGGCTGCCTCCGGGGGTCTAGTTTGTCCTGGTAGATGACCATGGAAGTTGTGGTGACGAGAACGAATGATGATGTTTTGGTAAGAGGAATCAGCATCGTGGGTAGTCTGTCCTCAAGCGGTAGCACTTTCTTGGTCACCTTTGGGGTTACCTGTCGTAGCGAATCGTAGGCATTCCATTCGTAACAGACGGCATGCGTGACCTGGTCCTGGGCGATAAGTAAAAGCAGAATGATTCTATCTCCATCCTCGGGGGTAGGATACAAAAATTCCATAGCTATAATATCGCCCTCGACACGAAAAAACCGTTCCTGGAGAGCAATCCCGGGATCATAAGTCAGGTGCATCGGTCAATCTTGCTCGGATTCATACACATACCTCTGCTATTGGGTCGAGTCTATTCTGTGCCATCTGTGATTGGAGCACAGCAGGGTCCTTGAGGACGAATATTCCGAAATAGTCACAAGAAGCGCTGACTGCAACAACCCGGGATCTGCCAAAAGTATGAGCCTAAAGCCATCATTGAATTCGGAATACGTACCGCGGCTCTACAGCAATATTTCGACCGAATTTCTCAAAGGCGCTGACATCATTCGGCAATGGTCGATGGTGGTAGATGAATTGGTCACCGGCATTCCAGTAGTATAAGAACGTGAGCTCTCTTGAAGAGAGGCTAAGTACCAGAATTTGAGGAGGCAGGTCTTGATACAAGTCTGTGTCCGCTGACATGGCCGATCTACTATCACCCAGTCGCATCTGAGCCTCCCAGGGTAGTTCTGTGCTCACATTGATGACTTTGGCTGCCATGATATACGAATCAAGGTCGTGCTTGACAGTGACTTCCTCGAGATGGGTGCCTGACACCGCCTCCTTGATCTGAAGACATCGTTCACCGACGAACACGACATCGTTCTGGTGCCTGCCTCTCAAACGCGCGGGTAAAATCCACTGTATAATGGGGCTTGGGACCAACGTATGGGAGAGTAGTCCGACCCTAGTCTGGGATTTTGCATCGATGTCATCCGCTTCAATGTCCATTGGATCTCCGCTGAGGACATTCTCAGATTGATTTCCGGGTAGGCCTGTATCTATTCTCGGCTGCGCCATGTCGGCCCGCAAAGGAGGCCCGCAACGACGAATAAGACAGTAGTAAGCGCTGACAATAGACTTTGCGAGCAGCTTATTAGATGAGGGGAATGGCGAGGAAAGACGTAAAATTTGAGCAAAAATGTGGAGTGAAGGGAGCACAGAAAAACTGATGACGCTACGGCTGGTGCAGTTCTGCCTTAACCATGCTCGAGACAGTCCAAGAACCACATGCCACTTCTCACAATGAGTCCGAAAGGGAAGCCCGAATAATGAGTGGACAGCGAGGGCAAGGTTGCTCTGCAGGTGTAGCTAAAAGAGGCAATCTGCAGAAACATGAATAGCGTCATGCAAAGAGGAAATAATCTGTCCGGATCAGTGAGCTAACTTTGAAACAGACACTCGCATCGTTTCGTTGCAGAGGGGTGTCAGAAACCTACGATGCAAGGATCCAGGTTCAATGAACCACGCGCTTGCTGCGTACTGAGGATTCGAATTATATCAGCGTCTCATAATTCTATGAATGGTTCATTGCCGCAACTGTGGTCCCGTGACCCTGTGGGAAATTCAAAGAGTCTGCCGGAGATTCAGAGGAATCGGGGCGTCAGCCTTGCGGGTTTGGCTGCAGTTGCTAACCGCGAAATCCCAGCGCGGTCAGTTTGTGGGAGAGCCGACTAACTAGCGGCCGGGGCGTTCAGTAAGTATGTTATGATGCCATAGGCCCCTCTAACCACCCTCAAACCTCACCGCAATGCTGTTCAGGCACGCATGATGCAGAAGCACGCGAGGTCTTTTGGTCCGGCCGGGTCGGATCTGGCAGCCTCTACTTACTCGCTATAAATTGAGCGATATTTATATATGTATAGTAGAGCTCAGTAGTGGTTTCTTGTGGCTGAGGGTGAGCTTATCAATGACGAAGACGAAGACAAGTGACGTGATGTGCACAGCATTAACTAGTTAAGTTAGGAGTAAGAAATGCGGATCATTCAATACAGTAAATTTCCCTCTTTGGACTGGAGTGACCTGGTTGCCTCAGGCGGCCAAAAACGTCGTCTCCCTCGGGACTGACTGGCCAACACTGAGAACAACAATTACTCCTCCGGTCCCCTCTTTCTCTTGAAATCTGGTGGCACACCTTCATACCAGTATCCAATGGCATCGGCATGGTTTTGCTCGGTTCTTCTTGCCCAAATATAGACTGACAGCGAGCTTGCCTATTGACATGAACCCGACGTGCGATCGTCATCTGCATACAAAGTAAACCTCATTCGTCGATCCTGCCTAGCGCGCATCAAAGGTGGATTCATAGATAGTTCAATACCTGAGCACAGTGCCGGACTGAGCTGTCAGTTCGTTCTGAGCTGGCCACATAATTGCATTTTCCGCGTCCTTCCCACCCTGAGTCTCCGGGACGAGGTTTGCCAAAGCATCCGTTGCCTGCCTCGGCAATAATGGATTATCACCAGCCGCAGAGCAACGAACAGGGAGACGGCCTGGAGCTGGTTGACGAGAAGGAGCAAAACCACAGCTCAATTGAAGAACCTTTACCTACGACCACAGTGCCGGTTGATGAGCAAAATGAGGCCCGTGCTACTGAAAAAGCGGATGCCATCCGCCGAGCATGCGACCTGCGTGATTTCGACGCACTGGTCTCTTATGCCACATCGGAAGGTGGCTTCCTGAATGACGATGTCAGACGAGTGGCCTGTAAGTGATCTCAAGTGGGGAACTCCGGTCTAATCCTTGCTGACAGCTCGTCTGTTAAGGGCCCATTCTCCTTCAGTGCGATCGAAGAGAATCGATCCACGACTTCACGAGCTGGGAGGACCTGCCACCGCATGCGGACGAGGAGCAGATACAGCTAGATGTAAATCGATCCTTTGTCTACTATCCTGAGTGTATGCATTTCAATCCGTCTAAGCGTCCCGAGACCTAATGCGTTAAAACAGGTTCTGACGAAGAGCTCTTGACGAAGAAAGATGAATTGTCTCGACTCATCAAGCAAGTCTTGCGAAAATATCCAATGCTATGCTACTTCCAAGGGTACCATGATATCGTGCAAGTGCTACTCCTTGTTCTTGGCGGCCACGAAGCCGCATCTGCTGTTGCGCAAATCTCGCTGCTGCGGATTCGAGACTATATGCTTCCAACCCTTTCACCGGCCCTGAAACACCTCCACTTACTACCAGCGATTATCGAAAAAGCTGACTCTTCGTTACGCCAACACCTTGCTGGCATCCAACCATTCTTTGCCCTAGCGGCGACTTTGACCCTATATGCACACGATATCCAAGAGTATAGCGACATTGCTCGTCTATTCGACTTCCTCCTCGCCGAAGAACCGGTGGTACCGGTGTATCTCTTCGCCGCGATCATCCTCTCCCGCAAGAAAGAGCTGCTCGAGATTTCTCTTGAGGAGCCGGAAATGCTGCACTTCACCCTGTCAAAACTCCCCAATCCCCTGGACCTCGACGGTCTGATAAACTCTACAGTGCAGCTCTTCAGAGACTATCCGCCAGAATCGCTGCCATTCGGAGCTTGGAAGCAGATCCCGTCGTGCAGTGCCCTCAAGACCTCAAGGGGTATTGTGCCAACTCACAGCAAAGACGAAGCTCTCAAATGTTTTGGCCAGCAATTACGGCAGCTGCGCTACGAGGAGAGCAAAGAGAAAGCAATCACCTTCTTGTGGCATAACAGAAGGACGATCGGTTCGGTGGCTGTCACCGTGCTGATTGGGGTGATGTCGACCTATATAAGACGCAAGGGACTCGATAGCACGATCTGGTCATACCTAGGTCGATTCAGATCGACCTTGCAGCACCGCGGCTATCTGTAGACCATTTGTGTCATTGTTCCTGTCCGAATATATTTAGAGGGAGATGGAATATCTATTGAGGACTGTATCCATAATTGTCTCGACAGCTTCACGGCGGCATAGAGAACTGCTGCCCATGTGTACATAGAGAGGGAAAAGTTGTCATTTGAACGGCCCGATGACAACCTGAAGCACGTTAGGTGAGATGATTCAATATTCCTAGGGATTTTCCCTCCCTGGACGTGGTCGGTAGCTGAGGCTTGTAGTTTCAGGATTGCGTGGAATGGCAAGCCAGGCTCCACACCGTGGCTGGTGCGGTGGCTTCTCCGAGAGCCGCCCGCTGGCTGATGTGTACTCTTCAGTTGCAACTCCCACCCGCACCTCGAACTCAATTCATCCACCTTTCTCTATCGACAACCCCAGTAAACCGCCCTTTCAAGATGTCAAACCAGGGCTACGATGTGGTAGTCGATGTGGACGCTGAGGTAAATGACCACACCTAGGAAAGCGCCTCATCCTCGCAGGCTCCGTTCCCAGCTAACTCGATTGACAACGAACGGACAGGGCGACCTCGGCCACACTGACCTTCAAGAGGACCTTGAATTCCACCGTTCGAGTAAGCCCACACTTTCTCTTTACTCAGGCCCAATCACTCAATCAGCCCGCTAACAACCGGTCGCGCACTACCACAGACTTCGAAAACGACCCACGCAGCGCCAAAATCCAGCAAGACTCGACCCCATTCCTCGGCGGCGGCGGCGTCGGCGGAGGAGCAGGAGGCACCTCGCGCGGCGGTCGGGACCGATCCCCGGGCGGCACACCGAGCAAGCACACCTGGTGGACGATCCACTACTACGCGCAGTTCTTCGACGTGGACACGAACGAGGTGCTGCGGCGGTGCCTGGCGACGCTGTACCCGCGCAACAACTTCCTGGATGTGCTGGAGGGCAACCCGGACCTGTACGGCCCCTTCTGGATTGCGACCACGGTGGTGGTGATTCTGTTCTTGACGGGCACCATCTCGCAGTGGCTGTCCAACAACGACGACGCGCACTTTGCCTACGACTTCACCCTGCTGTCGGGCGCCGCGGGCCTGGTCTACGGGTACACGGGCCTCCTCCCCATCGCGCTCTGGGGCGCGCTGCGCTGGTTCGGCAGCTCCAGTGCCGACCTGGTCGAGTCGTGGGCCCTCTACGGCTACTCCAACCTCGTCTGGATCGCCGTCGCGCTCGTCAGCTGGAGTCCTCTCACCGCGCTGAACTGGGCCCTCGTTGGCGTCGGGTTTGGTTGGACTGTCTTCTTCCTGCTGCGCAACTTGTACCCCGTGCTCAGTGCTACGGAGGCCAAGGCCAGTAAGATCCTGTTGATTCTGGTGGTTTTGTTGCATGCTGGGTTTGCGTTGGCGATTAAGATCTTGTTCTTTGCGTGAGTAGCCGGCCCCCTTCTTCTTCACCCGTTCCTTCTTATTTATTTGTTTTTTTTTTTTCTTCACGGATTTCCACTTTCGATGATGGTAAACGGAAACTTTGACTAAACATGGGTGGTATATACAGTCACGGAAGTCCAGTCTCGAAGAAAGGCAAAAGCGATAGCGACGGTGACCAGGAGGGCAAGCAACGGATGCTCATGTTCTAGACGGGGAAGGGCTGGCGCTGGACCAGAACAAAACAAGGCGTCATAATTGTCAAAACCAATCCTTATGTATGTTTTCATCTCGTTCAGAAACAGAGAAACAGGCTCGCATCCAGACCAGTCAAGACATACTACTGCTCAGGTAGCACACACTATGTCATGGTCAACTTCGCCCCGCTGAAAATGTGTACTTCAATTACTTCATTCAGGCGATAATGTTGAATTGTTTTATCCTTTTTATCCTTTTGACTCAAGCCCATGTAAAACCCAAAGCGGTAGTATCGTGTGTGACTTGGGAATATTTCTTCTGTTTACGGTGCCCGCAAAAGAATAATGTCACAACAAAGGGAATTTGGGTTTTTTTTTTGGGAATTTTACAATTGGATTTCGATTGCAACCTCTTCCGAGCAGCCAACTATGGACATTTGCCTTGGGCCATAATGTTTTATCATTCCAACGCCGTGTAATACCCTACGTTGCAATCCGGTCGTAACAACCCCAGCAGCGCTTTCCCCCCAGCAACGCAGAAAAACCGTAACAGGAGAATCGTTTACTTGAGCTTCTTCTTGGGGCGGAGCTGGTTGGTGTGACCGCACTTCTTCTTGCGGCAGTTGGTGGCACGAGGGGGAAGACGAGCCTGAAGATGGAAATATCACGTCAGCAATGAATAAAATGGAGCGACGTGTGCGCCCGGGTCTTGAATAAAAAAAAAAGAAAGGTAGACGTACGTAGCACTTGCGGCAGATGGACTTCTCGCAGTTGTACTTGGAGGCGAGGGCCTTGAGGGAGGGCTCGATGATACCACCACGGAGACGGAGGACGAGGTGAAGGGTGGACTCCTGTGGACCGGGGGAAAAGTGCGTTAGTCAAATTGATCCCGCTGCTTCAAACAAAGCATGCACAAAGGTAAATCCGTCCGTAGTTCGCTGCGCTGGGTTTCGTGTGTCGAGTGAAACAGAATGATATCTTCCAAGAGTGGTGAATACGGTCGTGGAATGATTCGAGCCGAAACAGACCCGATCGCTCGACTGAACAAATCTTGGCGATCGAGTCGGTCCAACCCGACCGTAGCTTTCCATACAAGACATAATCCATAAATGTGATTCCAGTCCACCTTTTGACGTTGATAAACCCGAGACCCAACCGCAGCGAACAGAACGTATAGGACCGATGTGCCAACAAATTTCGGAGTCGCTTCATACCTTCTGGATGTTGTAGTCGCTCAGGGTGCGGCCATCCTCGAGCTGCTTACCAGCGAAGATAAGGCGCTGCTGGTCCGGGGGGATACCCTCCTTATCCTGGATCTTGGTCTTGACGTTGTCGATGGTGTCGCTCGACTCGACGTCGAGGGTAATGGTCTTACCCGTGAGGGTCTTGACGAAACTATATTATTCGAAAGTGAATCACTGGTCAGCGGCTGATTGTTCTCTCGCTTGGTCCCATCCCTGATCGTGTCTCTGATGCCGTCTCATGTTTCCGGATTCTTTCTTCCTTTCCGTCCTTCTATCTTTTATTTGGTTCGAGATTTGATGCTTGCGTTCATGGTACGGGGATATCTGTGGAGGGACTTGGGAAGGACCTACATCTGCACTAGAAGAGCGCGGAAAAAACGTCATGTTAGCTTGCGATTCACAGAACGCGAATATATCCTCCTCCACAATGTCATAATAGTGCTATACATACTGGCTGCGGTTTTCGTTGTTGCTGGCTGACGATCTCGCTGAATGGGTCGGTCGGAAGAGGCGATGTCAATTTCACCATTTCTCGCTTAGCAGGAGGTGGACGGGATCTGCACGTGATCAGGGTTTAGGGCAGTCTGTTCTTCCCGCTCGGAGCGGGCGCGCCCCTCCGCATGTCTCCATACTTCTCTCGGACTACGTACTACCTTAATCATAATGACTACCGTATCTTAATTTGGCATCTGTAGACTTGGTTCGGTTTTTTTTTGTCATTCAAGATTGCGGGTATATGTACCAGTTAAAGTCTTGCGTTCTGGTTGGCTCCTCTTTCTGAATCATGTTGCCCCAGCATCTTGCTTATAGTCTATGATTGATCAATCGGTTCCTGCGGCTTGAAATTGTATTACATTCATTTCCTTGGTCTTGGCTCAATTCAAACTATACAGACATGTTGGCTCTCACATTGCATGCATGCTCCATTCAACCCCACTAACCAAGCACTGGCCATGCGACTCAAATGCTGGCTCGTACATACGCACATCCTATTCATTCTCCAGGCTCTGATTCAGGCATGTCATAATCATCCAGCTCGCTATCTTCCGTGGAGAAATCAGTGTCCAGGGCGTCTCCCATTGTTTCGACCCGTCGCTGCCCTTCCAGCCATCTCGTCAGTCTATGTTCTGCCTGAGACACCGCTCTAACAAGGGTAGAGAGCGAGACTCCAGCTACCTTGGCAGTGGTCTCGAAGAAAGGCCTTGCTGTATCAGGTAGATCGGCCTCCGTCCGATAACGCGCGTAGGCGGAGCCTGGTCGGGGTGTATCAATACTCTCCCCCGCGATGACCTTTGTTAATTTCAGCTGACTTGTGGAGGTCCGCAGCATCGTAAGCAGAGCCACTCTTTCATTGTCTTCTGTCGACGTGCCGGCTGTCTGGCTCTCATTTGTATTGATGTTAAGTGGGAAGAACTCGGCCAACGGGTTTTGCGCTGGTTGAGAATCAGCCAACGACCGAGAGAAGAACCATTGGAGGTCAACGTACCTTTGCTGTGGTCGAGCCAGGATCTCTCATACCAATTCATATATTCGTCCATTTGAGACGGTGTCATGTCCAATATGTCTTTCTCGGTCACTGCGAGTTGCTTGCCTTTGCCCGACCAGCCACCAATCATTCCCTCACGGTCGAAGAGCCTTTGGTTCTGCGCCCAGAGCGCCCAGTCGATAACTTGGACCGAGGGCTCCTTCGAAGAAACAGGGTATCTATTGTAGTCGTCAAAAGGGAAGAATAGTTTGGTAGCAATGACAATCGACACGACGATCTGCACTTCTGGTAGTCGCAAAGGTCGTCTTCTTCCTTGTGCCCCCTTGGGGTACTCGAAAGAGAAACCTAGTAGAGGTCGCAGCCTTTTGACGGCAGCATATAAATCAACTAGACAGATATAATCAGCATGCATCAGGACATGTCAACAAGTTTCTACTCACTCGGCAGTGCAAGCCTTCTGATGTATCTATACAACAGAAACGGCCAATTTAAAGCCGGAAACTTCATGTCAAACCTATTGTGATAGTAGGACAGGAGATCTGCAACGGCGCCATGAAGATGCTCGGCCCGAATCAACTTCTATTGAACGTCTGTCAGCGTGGCTATTCTCTCGATCATCGACAAAAGCACATACTGTAGTTTCGATAATGGCGATGAAATGTTGTGGCAACCTGTCTCGCATCTCTCGGGGGATGTCTTTGATGACTCTGATGAAGGGCATTTCGCCTCGGATGGCCATGCTGCATCGGTCATGGTCAGTGTATGAGCAACAGCGAATCATTTGATCGGGCAGACTCACCGATGAAAGTCCTCAACGCTCACCGGGAGTCTCATCAATAGCGCGGCAAGATAGCATAGGGCCAGACTGTCGATAAGCCGAGGCCACTTTGTACGCGTGGTGCCGAGCTTCGCCTCTGTAGATTCATCAAAGCTGGAAGCCGGTTGAGAGCTGAAGAACCGCGGCTCATCCTCCTGCTCCGACAGCTCATTGATTTGATCTGCGAAGGTATTCAAGTGGAGTGCCCAAAGATCTCGGACCACATTCTACGTGTCGTTCCCATGTCAGTCGCAAGCCGATGGTCACGGTCAAGACGGGCATTGCCCGATTGGGAAAGGCAACGCATGGCGGGCATACCTCAAACTCGGGCGGAAAGCCGCGGCTCTGGACCAAGGCGGATGATTGTTTCCAGAGGATCAATTGATAGACTTGCAGAAACAAACGAGATGCCTGACGGCCTTGGTAAGCTGCCTGATGTCAGTCGGGATAATTCGAACATACTTGGGGAGAAAATGCTTACTCCTTTGGGCCTTTTCGGCTGCCGCTTTCTTTATGCGACTCGTTCGACCTGAAGGATTAAAATCATCGGCATCATCTTCAACTTGGCGGCCCTGGTGGCATAGAACAAGTCAGATTGATGTGGTCATATTGGCGATGATGGTGTGTGGTCTGATCGGCAACTACACAATGCGCCTAAAAGGTGGGGTTTGGAAGGAAGTCATAATCATCTCATACCTCCTGCTGATGACCCCGCCTGCAAAACCAAAGACCATTGTCGATATAGTACCGCGTTTCACGGCACCCTTCCTGTCCACAGACCCCTCGTGTAATGTACTCCATCCAGGGCAGTAGTACTCTTCATTCTTGTGGTCGCAAGGAAGAGGTGAAGAAGAGAGGACCTGAGTCCCGAGAATGGATGGTGAAGTAATTTTCCCGTTCTGATCAGAATTTTTTTCTTTTTCAACCCTCCAAGGTGTCAACCCGTGACAAATCTGGTGTGCGCATGCATCACATGCAACAACATGCAAAACCGCCGGGATAGTCAAATTGAACTGCTAGAAATACGGCTTTCAGACACCTTCTAGCAAAATCAAGATCAAGATTTCGCTCAAAATAGTCACACTACGATCTAAGTCCATTACAAGAGCACATAACATAGTTGGAACAATAATAAGTTTTTTATTCGTAAAACTATCGTGAAGGTGCTGAACTCAAGAGCTGTTCCTCTGACAGAGCACGATTAATGCTGCCAAGTGAACGTGACTAGCGTCACTGGCTCACATACCCAAGTTTATATTGAAGCAGATTATGTCGTAACATGCCCACGTGTCTTATGAGAGCTGACACACGGGCGGAGACAGCAAGGCCATATTGGAGCACAGAGAAGCTGACAGGGAAGTCACAAGGTCCATGAACACGATTAGACCTTTACTTGGCCTGGGGAGCCTCCTTGACATCCATGCAGCACTGCTCACCCATGGCGGTGAGGATAGTGACGTCTAAAGCGTACAATTAGCTCTTCGCAGTTCCAAGACCGATGTGCAGGATTCACTTACTGCAGTCCTTCTCCTCCTCTCTGAACATCTTCTCGATGCGCTCACCAACCTCACCCTCGGGAAGCTTGACGTCGTCCTTGGTGTTACCGGCCTCGTCCATCAGGGAGAGGAAACCATCGTCAGTGACGTCGAGCTGCAAACATGTTAGTATTTAGCTTCCGAGCTTAAGCGGCAGGCTACTCACGAGCTGGTATTCACGGCGGTAGACGTTGGGGACGTCCATGTTGTGAGTGGAGGGAGACAGATCCTCGTACTTCTTGCCGGTGAAGATGTCAAGGGCGACAAGGTGAACCTTGGCGTGACCGTGCTTGCCAGTCTTGGAGGTAGACATGTCGACGATCTTGCAGGGGCGGCCCTTGATGACAACGTGACCGTTCTTGCGCAGAGCGGAACACTGCATGGGGAAGGTGGCCGAGGCGCCGGCATCGGCGGACTCGAAGGTCTCCTGATGCTGTATAATGGTGGTCGGTCAGTATTGAATCAATTATCAGGCATGACGGCGACGATGTATGAACGAAAGCCGGGGCGAGGATATGCATTGCCTGCAGGTACAAGCGGACATATGGGTGGGGGTGGAAAGGGGAGCACGATGCAAGGCTTCCAGAAGCCCAGCAGCCCAGCATCTCGCACTTCCAGTATGTGAAATGCCGAATTTGGTGACAAGCGACCAGAGTATAATGGACGGGCAGAACGTACCTCGTCAGACATGGTGATGGATTTGGGAGGTGAATGCAAGGAAAACTTGAAGAGAGAATGGAGGAGGAAAAAGAGGACGCTGAGAAGTGAGGAGGAGGAGAGAAAAATGGATGGGAGGCAGAGAGGGGGAACAGGCGAAAAGAAATCGACAAATGGACTGCGAAAAAAAGGCACTTGTTGTGGCGGGGTTTTTGTGGTCGCTAGTCTGCTTTGGGGTTAGAGTCGGAGAAACCACATCCGTGGTCGCTGTGGGTCACCGTAGCATCTCGCCCTTGTCTTATCTTCTGCAGTCGTTGGAAACCTTGTTATTTATTCAAGTTCTCTACCCTTGAGGTAAAACATCTGAAATGATCAGAGAGGCATAGTCCAGCATCAGGCACCAGAATCTCCGTTCCTTTGCCCAGGATAGAGGTGTACTGCCCTTATCACGAGCGAATCACTTCCGCACCATTGTCGATTACGGAACGACTCTTGCAAAGCTCCCAGGTACAGTGTTCGGAGGCTTCGAGTGAAACACCTGGCTCGACATATCTCTCAGAGCTTCTACAGCAAGAGCTGAGTTAGTGATGCTGTCTTTCCGCACAATCAGAACCTCAAGTGGCTTGGCGACCTTCGTGACAAGCAATACACTTTGTTAAACAGCACAAGATAAAATGCGCGTGACATCGGACACTGCTGTGCCGCTCCCCGTGCAGATGGGGTAAGTATAGCAGTATCAGCCCAGTTGAGCTCTGCAGTATACGAGCGTCAGTGACGACTTTGAACATCCTGCCCACATCAGCGGACAGGGGGCGTATGCGGCCCACAATACCCACAGGCACGGTCTGGTGGCTTTTTGGATGATGAGCCACTACTGCATCCAACACTTGATTTGGAACACGGCATTGAATGCATTGAGAAGTGAATACCTGATAGTAATATCGCTCTTCTCAGTATGCTGTGATATTGCGAAAGCGATCCCCAAGGCCATCTCCGTGATCCGGCATGTGGTATTCTTGCTATCTTCGTGATTTTCAACAATAGTCGTTCATGTGCACCTTGCAGGCTGTCAAAATGAGAAGAGTTTCGACCAGAACAGCCCTGAGACCATTGCAGACAATGTGCTCTTGCCTAAAATCTTCGTCTACTCTCGGAAAAAGGGGCCGAGAACATCCTCAGCACCCGTCCTAGCGCTCTTTACGCTCTGCATCGATGTCGATGAAAACACTGTGGGACATGTTGAAGGCTTGATAGAAAAGCTTTTGTCTTAGGACAGACTCCCCCACAGTAAGGGGCATCCCTGGTATATAGCTCGTTGAGGCCAATTCGTGACGCTCGTGATTGGCATATTCAGGGCAAGACTCAGGTAACTTACTTGGAAAATTCGAAATATATAATTGTGGAGCTTTGTCCTCTCAATTTGTAGATTCAATGACGTGACATGGCTGCTGGCGAAGGACTACGAGGTCGACACAATTAATCCCACGCGTCATATTAGAGATGATGCATCGGACTGACAAGAGCCAGCGTAACAATGGTGGCTGCAAGAGCAGCTCTGAGCTCCGATTAGATTTCCATCTTATAAATCGGCATAAAGTTTATCGATATGTGGACAAGCCAAGCCCACTGACATTCTGTTGCAGAGAGCCATACGGGATATCGTGGGCTCTATTTAAGAGCTTAAGTGATCCTGAACGCCACCATTTAGATGGAATTTCACAGCATGCGGATCTCTTCCAGCCTACTCAGTAAAGGCTCAGCTCCGAATGACCCTTAGAGAGTTGTTGAGACCCGGGCCTTACAGGCATTAACCGGAGGCTATCGCGATAATCTCTGTTTGCCTTGGAATCAAATCCGGCAGCTTCCCCCTGTCGGGCCGGCGGGTACAGTACACTAGCGTGGGGCTTTCCCCGCAATGTTTAACATGCCTAAGTACGGAGTACTCCGTAGGGTCTTAGCGAATCCATCGCATACAAATATGATACACCATGCATGTCAAATATGTCTTATGCGGGCATACACTCTTAATTCGAACTCCTTTGCACCATGCTTAAAGAAGGTAAGGAGCCTACGTATTGTCGCTGAACATCCTAGATACAGACTGCGCAGATCTGGTTATAGTATTCTGACATCCGCTTCAGAATTGACCGTCTTGGCCTCCGATGCTGCGACATACAGTCTTCAAGCAAGCGGAGGTTAAGACTTCGTCGTACTCATCGCAGGGCGCCTTCTCTTTACACCTTGTTCACGTAACAGACCTGATACTTTGACTCTTTCGAGCTATCATTTGCTGTCTATCTGGTGATTCTCCTCAGTTGTAACCTTTCTCCGCACTGCTACATGAGTCTATCACGCTCTAGACGCTTATAAGCTGTTCTTGAATCTTTCTACTTCTGCAACAGGTCTTTCGATATCACACGCGGGGAACTGAATAGTGGTGAGTCACGTGATACATACGTGAGGCGAAGTGTAATACGGATCCGAATTCACCAGCATATGATACATGTAAATGCTGCGTGACTGTTGACAATAGAAAATGGAAAGATTGGCGATGGACTAATCCGACCCATTCAATCATTGAAGATGGTCGACAGCTGTACGCTGAGATCATGAAAGATATTTCTCAAGTCAGACGTCTTGGCCTTGGACCACTCGGCCACATTACCTTTGGTTGTCGTATGAGCTTTTACGGAATACGGTACAACAGCCCCCCGCGCGGCCACCAGTTTCGCGAGCCGTTCATGAGACTACTTGCTGTGCAGTGCTGCTAACAATTCCACCTTACAACATTCTTCTCCCTGAGCTGTCTCTGCTCTTCAGCGGGAGTCAGGCCGTGATCGAGATCTTGCTCACATCCTTGGACGATCAAACTCCCTCTCTTTTCCTCACCTCCTCCGGGAATATCTCTTCCCCTCCCTCGATGAGCTCCGTGGAGCTGTCCGGTATCCGCACCCTTCTCCGTACCGGTTCTCTAAGATGTGGCTAGACCGCATTGCTGGCCATTCGACTCCCTCAGGCCCTCAGATTGACAGTCGCAGCAACACACCTCTCCCCCGACGAACATCCTCTCGCTTATCGCCGAACATCCAGAACAATCGTCCCGGTACCAGTCGACAAGCATCCTCCCTATCCGTCCTCCTGACACCCAGTGATTCGACCACCTCCCTGCCCGCAACCGCACGCGATAACAGATCGCCGCTGAGACAAATCGCTGCAAAGTCCCGTCCATCCGATGTCGCTGACCCCCTCGATGTTCTGAATGGCATCCTTGGGAAGCAAAATGCCGATCGGGATGCATCTCCTGACGCTGATCTTAACGCCAAGCCAGCGGATCTTGTGGAGGACATTGACTTTCAAGGATTGAGCTTGGAGGAGTTCATTGCCAAAGACGATGCACCAAGAAGGATAACTAGCACCGAGGCTGGCGCTCAGACTGTTCAGCTGTTTGAAAATGAGCAAAACAAGTTTCAGGATCTTCATTCGGCCATTACCAGCTGCGATGAAGTTTCGAGCTCGATGGAGACATATCTGAATGATTTCCAAAACGAACTTGGGGCTGTGTCGGCAGAGATCGAGAGCCTGCAGTCTCGATCAATTCAGTTGACGGCAATGTTGGAAAATCGCCGCAACGTTGAGCGACTCCTTGGGCCCGCCGTGGAAGAGATCAGTATCTCGCCCAAAACGGTGAGGTTAATTGCGGAGGGACCGATCGATGAGAATTGGGTCAAGGCCTTGAATGAGATGGAAGCCCGGACGGCAAGCATTGAAGCCAAAGATTCGGGCTCTAGCAGCACCAAATCTATCGAGGACGTACGGCCGCTTCTCAAGGACATCCAAAATAAGGTTAGTGTGGTCCTTGTGCGCATACCTTACTCAAATTGACCCGCATACAGGCAGTGGAGAGGATCAGGGACTACCTGGTATCTCAAATCAGAGCGCTCCGATCTCCTAACATCAATGCTCAGATCCTTCAGCAGCAGCGGCTGGTGAAATTCAAAGATCTATACAGCTATATCTCCCGAGCCCACCCGGAGCTTACGGGACAAATCACACAGGCTTATATCAACACGATGCGGTGGTACTATCTATCGCACTTTACGCGATACCGTCAAGCGCTCGATTCAATAAAGGTCTTCCCCAGTGATCGGAATGAGGTTCTAGGAGGAGATCCGTCAGCCCACAAAACAGGTAGGCCCACCGAGATCTTCTCATTGGCATCTCACTGACAGTGCTAGGCTCTACTGTTGCGGGCGGTCGTGCAGGGTCTGCGGCACACGACCCGTTCTCCCTAGGAAGAAGAGTGGATATTTTGCGGGCTGGTGCTCAAATAGCCATTTCTTCTTACCTAGCGGAGGAGGACAATTCCTTCCATGGACTCGAAGTTCCATTCCGCAATTTCAACCTTGCCGTTGTGGATAACGTGTCGGCCGAATATTCTTTCATGACTGAGATGTTCTCGACCTTATCCTTCCAGCAGATTTCGCGCAAGGCTGTAGAGATCTTCGAACCGGTTTTCAGCCTGGGACAAGCTTTGACGAAGCAATTGATTGAACACACCACGGATGCGCTGGGTATTTTGATTTGCGTCCGGTTGAGTCAGCATGCCGCCTTTGAGCTGCAGCGTCGCAAAGTTCCCGTCGCGGACTCGTATATCAATGGAACAAACATGCAGCTATGGCCTCGGTTTCAGGTGATCATGGACACTCAGTGTGAATCCCTGAAGCGGGTGGCCGCGAATACGGGTCGCAGCGCGGTGTCCGCCCTGTCCTTGGCCGGGGGCGACGATCTGAACAAGTCGTCGGCGCCCCATTTTCTCACGCAACGATTTGGCCAGCTTCTGCACGGGATCTTGGTTCTGAGTAGTGATGCAGGAGACGATGAACCCGTCGCCAACAGCTTGAAGCGCTTGACAGCGGAGTTTGACAATCTTCTAACGAAGCTCAGCCGTATAGGCGGCGATTCCAAGAGACGAGAAAGGTTCCTATACAACAACTACTCGCTTGTTTTGGCTATAATTAGTGTAAGGACGCCTCTTTCCCGGATAGTCCACAAGGCTAACAGGCGGATAGGATACCCATGGTAAATTAGCAACCGAGCAGAAACAGGTATGTCTATCCTGGCAAATTCACTCTGGTTTCCTACTGACTCGCGCCAGCATTTGGATGAAATGTTGAAGAATGTAGGAAAGCGACCTTGATGAATGGTACACGCATCGAATGCTGCTTTTACTTTATTCTTTGTGCATCGATTGGCCTCCCTATATCAGGCTTGAGCGTATCATGAATTCACCCTACCATAGAGATGCTGCGATAGAGAATGCCACTCTCATTTCATCCTAGGAGAACTCAACGCCGGCGAAGGAGGGAGCAGCGCAGGTGATTTGCAGTATAGTACGGAGTACTCAGTGTCCCGCTTCGGACACAAGAACGTACTGTCTCCGCAATGCGATTTCTAGCACCATCTTGGCGTAGAATTGGTATGCATTGATTGATGCTTGATCAGCTGCCTGTCTGAATTCCTTCGACGCCTCGGCATATTGTACAGTCAGTACGGAGATCATGGGATTTTTGTGAATACTCAGTTCAGTACATACTATCATAGCGTACCTTTCCTTATCACCTTATCGGATGGTTATCAACTGCCCAAATCGGATTCGGCGCCGACCACAAGGGCAACTCATCCCGGCCCTGTGCGCGCCATCATCCCCCGTTGGAATCCCGGTACATCAACTTTGACTCTTCCCGTCTCCTACAGAACTCACGTCCCAGTTTAATTCACTCCCTATCGCAATTCCAGCATCCAGCGCCGTTTTGCCACTATCAATGGCCACCCGCACCCTCCACTTCCTCACCAAAACCCTTCCGCTCTTTCGCCGTCGCGGCTTCTCCAGCACGGTCGCCCCGCGAGCCGACGTCACTCATGCGGTAAGTCCACTCCCACGGCCCATTGCACAGAGCACTGTCACGTCTTTCCCAATCTCTACTCAAGGCTACCAAAGCAAAGTGCAGAAGATAACTCATACAGTCTTCTTGAAAGGTCATAGGCGGTGGAGTAGTCGGACTCGCCGTTGCGCGCGAATTGGCCGGGCGCGAGGGGACGTCGACTATTTTACTCGAACGACATGACGCTCCTGGGACGGAGACGAGTAGTCGGAATTCTGAGGTAAGAAAAGAAGCGCTACGTAGGGGTGCAGGATAGAGAGGAGTGTGTGGATTGGAATTTGTTGCAATAACTGAAAGACTAACGGAGAGGGACCCAGGTCATCCATGCAGGACTTTACTACGGCACCGACACCCTCAAAGCGAAACTCTGCATCCAAGGTCGGGAGATGCTCTACGACCTCCTGCGCCGCCAGGGGATCCCCCACCGCAACACGGGGAAGTGGTTGGTAGCGCAGGACGAGGAGGAATGGGCGTCGCTGGAACGGATGCACGCGCACGCGCAGAGCATTGGGGTGCCGACGCGGATTCTGTCGCGGGAGGAGATCGAGCGCCGGGAGCCCGAGGTGCGGGCGCAGGCGGGGGTGCTCGAGAGCCCGACGACGGGCATCCTCGACAGCCACGCGCTGCTCACCTACCTGCAGGGGGACTTTGAGCACCGGGGCGGCGACTGTGCGTTTCTGACGCGGGTGACGGGCCTCCGGTATGTGGGGGGCTGCTACGAGATCACGGCCGTGTCGGCTGACGGGGCAGAGACCACCATCACGGCGGAGACGGTGGTGAACAGCGCGGGGCTCGCTGCGTGTGAGGTCAACAACATGCTGCTGCCCCCCGAGCGGCACCGCACCATGTACTACGCTAAGGGCACCTATCTCTCGTACTCGGCCTCGTTTCCCAAGACCTCCGTGCTGGTGTACCCCGCCGTCACCAAGTCGCAGGCCGGCTTGGGCATCCATCTGACGCTGGACATGGGTGGGCAGATCCGTTTCGGCCCCGATGCCGAGTGGGTGGACAGTCCGGATGACCTGGCGCCCAATCCGGAGCGTCTGCAGCCGGCCCTGCCGCTTATCAAGCGGTATCTGCCGAACGTGGATGTCAACGCGATCAGTGTCTCGTACTGTGGGATCCGACCCAAGCTCAACCGGAATAGCGGCTCCTCCTTCGGCCAGGCTAAGGAATGGCAGGACTTTGTGATCCAGGAGGAGGAGGGGTTCCCCGGGTTTGTGAATTTGTTGGGTATTGAGAGTCCGGGATTGACCAGTAGTTTGGCCATTGGGAAGCGGGTGAAGGAGATGCTCTATTAGGGGGTATATCAGGAAACTTCGGTCACTTATTGTCATGACAATAAAATACCCTTCTGTCCGTATTCAAACACTCCTCTCCTCCTCCAACAAACACTAACGAGATAGAGTCAAAGTTCTAATGCTTGCCGCCGACATCTGGCAGAAACTCAGACAGGACTATTGAGTCCGGCGAGGATGTGTTCGCGGGTCTTTTCAATTGAGCTGTTTATCATGGGGGATGTGATGATGAGAGAGGGAACATTGATCTTTCAGATAAATACCTTTGGATGAAGGGGAGGGGGGCATTTCGAAGCAGTCAATGGATGTAATCAAGGGATGTTGATAACTACTGAGTACCTCAACCGCCTTGGGATCAGGAGTAATGATTTGTCCGTGCTGCCCCCCCCCCCCCCCCCAAAGCGGAAATACCTCTCCCTCCCCACAACCTTAATCAGCAAGCCTGACTCCACGCTTGGCGTTTTGCCATCGCAGTCCCCCCGAAGTAATCAATTGACGTCAAGACTCTCTCTCTCTTATCATGGAAGGAGATTTGCAGTGCACAATTGAAGATGGGAATCTTATATCCTATGCTCACAGGAGACCCCCGCACTGAACTGTATAACTATCGATTGAATGTCTGATTGATTGTGTATGTTATGTGTAGCCAGTGTACACTGTAGTCACTGTACAGTACAAGCCAGATGTATCCACCCACTGCTAAGAATATCTCCCCCTGCCGCTCCCCATGCAAGGAGTACACCGTATCGTCCATTTCAGGAAGAGCGTTATGATGAGTGCTTTTCTAAAGTCTGGATTCTCTTCGTATTGCCCACAAGAGAGAGAGAGCCAAGGGATCCTCCCCAAAGCGGCTGAGGTCAGTTGCCACCACCGGCCCAGTTCCAGACTCTGGACGGGGGTTGGATGAATGGGGGGGGGGGGGGGGAAGGGGGGTCCTTAAAGAGGTAGTCGACTGGTCGGTCGAGTGAGTTCTTCTGTTTCCCAGCCCAGCTGGTGGATTTCTACACATCCGACACTCCCGACATACATACATACATACATATTGAAAACCTCTTCCTTGACCATTCAATTTCATTCTGTATATTGCGGTCATATAGCCTATACTTCATCCCCTCCTGCCTATGCTCGACCATCGATGGGCGTCTACCACATCAATTGACAACTCCTGTGCATGGTAACAAAACAAACCAGCAATTGACGTACATAGTACATATCCCTCTCCACAAAAAAAGACACTATGACCCAACATCACCACCACCACTACCGTCCCTACCACCACCAACACCCGACAGCATCAGCATCACCTACCAGAACCAACTCCAACTCCAACTCCAAACCCGCCCGCAGCTCCCGCAAATCCCGCAAACAAGAAGACCGATCATCCGCGAGCCAACGATGCTGGGATTGGCTCCTTCTTCCCTCGAGCAGCAACACGCACTTCGCCAAGAACCGCGCCTCCTTCTGCACCTACCGCCGGGCGCCGTGCAAAATCGCCAACCAGCGCGTCCTGGGCGTCGGCACCGTGCAGCTGCGCGTGCGGCGTGCGCCCAACGACCCGCGCACCACCACCCTCGTGCTGCACGACGTGCTGCACATGCCCCATGCGCGGTGCAATGGGATTAGTGTGACCAAGTTCACCGAGGATTTCGATTGCGCTGAGGGGTGTCGCGGCGGCGAGGCAAGAAGGAGGAGGAGTAGTGGAGGGAGTGTGGGCGACACTCTAGAATTCGAGGGGAGGGTTGAGGTCGGGGTGGAAGGGGTGGGAGAGGCGGAGCATCTGCAGGTCAGGCGGGCCAGTACCAGTACCATTAGCAGTTATGGCGGTGGCGGTGGGGAGCTTGGGGATCGGGATGATCTGGGAGAGGGTTTGTGGTTTGCTGATGGGAGACCTGAAAGAGGATGCTCGAGGGTTGTTCTGGCTGGAGAGCATCAAAAGCTGGACGTGGGGGACTTGGAGAATGAGCAGATGTTGAAGGGGCTTGTGATTTCCAAGGAGGAACTTGAGCTTCTCAATGAAAGGGTCAGGAATCGATCTTGGGTTTGATTAGATTCATCTTAATAAGGGTTGGGTCTGTCTTTTCATTGCAATTAAATTGTTTGGCGTCTGGCGTATTTGTACATAAGACTGATGATGATCCTGTAACCACTTTTAGGTGACAACCTTGTGCGCTCCGGCATGTTATGGTACACTGTTCAGCCAGCTGATCAATGCCACCGTGCATTGGAGCGTCTCAAAGGCTATGAATCTGTGCCCACGGCAAATCAAGCCAGGCAGGGTAGCTCTCGTGATCAACCGACACTTCAGTCTACATCCATCAAGACATCACTCATGATGTGAAGCACATAGGAAAATTTGCGCACGCTCCATTTGCCAGCGTCTCTCAATAATCCGGCATAGTCCAACAGAACGCGTCGTGCGGGCTGGTAACCGCCTTGGATGGGGATTCCTCGTAAGAACACTGTACCCCCGTTGCGGATGAAATTCACCGCTGGCTCCTCAGACAGCGGCAATGGTTGGTTGCCCGACGGTACCATGTAACTGGCAAGCCCCTCTGTGCCCACCTTCTGCCAATCGATGTCATCAAAGAGCTCGATTGCGGTGCCCCCTCCCTGTGGATCGGGGAGATTTGGCACCATGAAAACATATAGTCCCAGGACTAGCGCCGCCGAGAAGAGAGAAAAGACTGAATGAAACATCATATGGTCGGAAGTCTTGCGGTTTGTCAACACCTTGTAGATGTGCGCTGCATGCAGACAAGCTCGCCGGGCCGCTGGTGTCTGAGACCATGCCGCAATGTCGTCCAAGGCTTTCCGGGCAGGGGCGGGTCCTGAGCGTCCCGCCGCGAGATCGAAGATTTGGGTATCTGCTGAAAGCGTCAAGCACATATTGTGCCATGTCACGGCCGCATTGGGATTCAATCGGCTGAGTATGTCTCCGTACTTATTAGCAATCTGCAACTGGAGGTCCGCAAGACACCTGGCACGAGCGTCCATATTATAAGTATGACACGGCGCAAAGGGGTACTGCGGTCGGTTCGAGAGAAGACGGTAGTAAGCTTCTGACAGCCGCAATTGCACCAGAGACAACACTCCGTGCATGCAGAAGTCGTCGACCGGACTTTCCAGCTCCGGTAAGCCCACGCTCTCTGATGGCGCCACAATCGTCGGCATTAGCATGCATTTGCCGCTGCAGATCAATTGCATCCATCGCATAGCAGTGATGGCTCGGAAGAGTGCGTCATCACATGGCAGTATTAACTGAACCGAGTCGGGCACGATGATGGGACTCGTAGACATGAAGGAGGAGTACCAAGAGTCCAAGAGCAATAGACCGTTGATCAGCCTGGAAACAATTAGCCAGATACTCGAAAGCTGGCGAGGCACCAACCTTTTCACACTCTCCACTTTGCTCCAAACTTTCCACCTCGTCTCGACGTCAGGGAAAGTGTCGAAAAGATTCATATCAAGCAGTTGTCCTTCTGTGGCCGCGAAAAGTCCATGTCGTTGCGCTATCTGCTTATTTGTTAATTGCAGCATCTCAACGTCCGCTACTTCCAATACTTACAGCTATGAGGTTGACATAGAGCATCTGACATTTTTTAAGATGTTCCTTCTCCTGTACACTGTCAGTAGGCCCTGGAAACCAAGTGGAGTGACTTACTCCGGTCATAGCAGCCAGATTGAGAAACAAGAAGCAGGCAGCGAACGTAGAGACGGTGGAAACCGAGTTCTCCACCCCCACAGAGCACTTGGCAAGGTCGGTCGTGATGCGCTCGAGCATCAGCTGTTGATCTCGCCCGTCAGCACCGCACCAAGCATGTGAAGGCCTGCACACTCACCTGGAAGTTCTTGCAAACAAACTCCATTGTCCCTCTGGTTCCCAACAACACCATTCCGATGAGACACATAGCATACAATACTGAAGGACGCGTATTGCTTGCGGAAAACGTAGGCACATGAATAAAAGGCACCAATGGATGAAATTCGCGGAAGTAAAGATCAAGCGCCATATCGAGAACTTCGGCTGGAGGAAAGTTGTGGTTCTTTGGATGGGAGTTCGAAGTCAAAGGTGGTAGTATGTTGCTCCCAGCAAGCGCATGTGGCTGCGGCTGTTCCGTCTGCCCAAAAGCCATGTATAGGCGTTGCCTGCACGCTTCGTCAAGGCCATATCTCGATCCCTGTGGAAGGCCAACGGGGCCAATTGGCAATGATGTTGGTGGCATGGTAAATATATTGTGCAAGTCACTGCTGGCGACATCCCGCCACAGACTGTTCATGAGGCGACCGGTGTTGTTGGAAGGGGCAAGCCAATAGCGCTGCACGCGAGAGAAGCGCTCATTCGGAATCAGGTTCCCTGATTTCGAGTTCTCCCCATCGCTTACGGATTGATGCTGCTGCGGATGCTGTTGAGGTGTTGCTGTGGAAATTTCACCGGTCAGGCTACTCATCTGGTCGCCCATCATGTCCAATGAACCACTGTGCGAGATCGAGTCTCCGCGGGGTTCCAGCCAGAACTGCAGCAAGTCATTCTGCATTGGGTCGAGGATGGTCCCCCTATAGCATTGCTGATCAGGGCCAGAGATATCGTTCCACCCGAAGTATTGATGTTGCTCCTCAGGCATCATTGGATTGGCATCTGGTTCCGTGCGAGGTTGATGGGTGGACAGGTTGGCTAAGAAGTCCAGAGACGTTGAGGGGATACCGGGGGTTGCCGACAGCGACATGCCGCGATGCGTCGAAACATTCTGAATCTGTTGAATGTCATGAGGACTCATTCCGGGTAAGGCCTGCTGAATCCCATTTGCGACGAGAGGTGTCCGATCATTAGGCGGTTGAGTAGGCGGCGTGGCAGTCTGGATATTCTTCGATTCATTCGTCGTTTCGGGGCGAGTAGTCTTGTGGCCTTTCGCATGGCGACTCAGGACATCGCTGTAAAGGGAGTTCAAAGTCAATATCCAGGCCGCGCATGGATCCCGGGAACGAGAAGACAGTGGGATTGCACTCACCTCCGCGAAAACCGCTTGAGACAGACCTTACATTGGTAGGGCTTCTCTTTCGTGTCTAGAGAGTATAAGCGTGTGAAGAGTGATCTTCAGGGTGAGATTGCCATACGCGACCGTTCATGACGCTTGAAATGCTCTGTTTTCTTGAATTGCCGATCACAGATAGTGCACTGCTTCATGACCATGATGTGCGCGTACAAGAGCCACTGGGATGGAGAGAGTCAAGAAGACAGTCACACAGAACAATGCATTGAGGTTGCACCATGCGCGAGGTATATGTATAGATCGAGGCCCAAGGTGGGAAGGGATTCCTTTGCGACCAAGGCGTGAGGGGGAATGATGAATGGGAAGGATAACTAATTTGTTTGAAGACGAAGAAGCTTAAGCCGTCGGGGAATGGGTCAGGTTATCTCCGAATTGGTCAAGCGTGGTTTGAGCTTTTTGCCGATCCCAGAAACCATGGAGAAGAGAGACAATCCAGAGGATGCAATGTCACGACCCGATGGGAAGGAAAAGAACCTCGAAAGGGCTTGCCAGTCATTGTCATGACCGATCATGATTCCAAGTTGGGGACTCTTTATTTTGGCCGACTGCAACTGCAAGCTGCCACTCCGCCAGAAGAATTACTTCCCCATGGGGTTTAGTGCATGCGCCACTGTCCGCTAATGCTCGTGATGTTAAGTTAATTATACCCAAGTTAATTAATTTCCATCGTCACCACGATCTCGGCTATACTAAGACTGTGCCACAATGCAATGAGACATTCTCAGAAGAGAACAGTATGGAGTGGATAGACTAAAGGATCTAAATTATAGTCCGAGGCAGATAATATATTTATAGTAGGACAACACACAACTCATGAGCTTGTCATGGCCCCATCCAAATGCCTTTAATGAGGTCAGTATGTGGAGAACAGCCTATTATCAATTCAAACTGGGACTTTCAGTCTTGTCAGAGCACAAAGGAAGAATGCAGCGTGGCCCACATATGCTTTGATCTTGTCTGTCGTGCTTGTATCCGTGCAGCAAAACAACGCGTGGGGCCAGCCATGTGGGAGAGCGCGCAGTGGTGGATGGCCCCCGAAATCCTCCCACTTCTCCTTCATCTCAAGAGAATCACTCTTTTCAGACTTCTCCCCTCACACGGTTGTTTGAGTCAACAGCTAACATATCCTCCACCAGTCGCATCGATGTCCCAAAGTGATTAATGGGGCCGCGCAACTGGCTCACCGTTCCTTTGCCAAAATCAAGGTCACCTCCAGCTTCTGCATAAAGCAGTGCCAGGCCCATTATGACTGCCTTCGCCACGATAAGTTCTTCGATCGAATCCAGGTTGGCCATCATTTGCTTACTGTACGCACATGAGCCACACAGGGCAAATTGCGTCTGGGACAGTGCCAGCGGCCCGATGCACGCTCAAGTCTACCACCATGCCATCTAGAACAAGGCCTACATTCAACAGCAAGGACTTGAATTCAGCACGAATAACATCACTGGGTATGGGATTGCGTTTCTGCGGCATGGTGGAGGAGGCGCCGCGGTGTGGCACAAACAGCTCTGACACCTCTCCTAGCTCAGTCGACGACCTCGTGATAAGGTCTAGGGCCAACTTGGCCATCAGTCAAGTAGTGAATTGACAATCTTCGCCACCATATCTCGTGCGACATGCCCGGTAATAGACGGGATCTTTATGTCTCATTCCTTCCACCAGGACTTGATATACGCGGAGCCCGTGGTTCCCAGAGCCCATCGATGCCAATGATTCGGCTGCGCCGCCAAACTGCGCCAGTAAGCAATCACTCCGCAACTGCGTCAAGCACTTGAGATGCCGCTGCAAGCCTGCAAGACGCACTGCACACTTGTAGCCGAAGGCAAGAAGGCGGGCATACAGCAGACGGGTGCGGCCCACCATGGGTGTGTAGATATCGTCGACAATTGACGAACAAGCGGCAAGATAAGATATCGAATCCCAGTCTCCTGTCGTAGGTGTTCCATGTCCAAATGGGACTCACGTAGCTTCCAGGTGAACTGGCCCCCCATTTTTGGAAGATTCACCTCGCATCGCGGCTGGGCTCTTGCAAGTGCGGCTTCGGCATCCAGACATCGTTCGAGAATGTATGCATCCTTGTCGATGACTTTCCGGATCTCCTCTGTACCGGGAAGGGTACGGATATGCTTGAAAAGATTGCACTGAAAGAACGGATAGATCGGTGAGAGGTAAACGAATAGACTCCTCGCAGAAGAGGCCGACGAGATCCGTGCGCCAATGGCCGTGATGCTAAAATCAACGTTAGCTGATCTTGACTTTTAAGGAATTGAATGTTCGAGCAACACTAATAAACAGCTAGAGTCATATGAAGTTGTCTGTACTAAGGCTGACCTTTGATGCGTGTCACAAAGCGCCAGTTTCTTCGAAGCATCAATCCATTGCGGGGATGCGGAGCAAGCATAGCAGGGTTACCCTGATCGTGTGGGGCTGGTAGCAAAAGATGCATCGGTAATAAGTTCAACCGAAGGATGTCTATCTATCGTGTATCTCGATGCTCGTGTTGAGAAGACTTAACGTAGGAAGAGTACTTGGTACTATAACTCATATCTGTTAAAGATACATGGCCTGCAAATTCACCGAGTCAGGCATCTCTAGAACGCAGGCTCCCAGCTCATTTCATTCCATTCTTACGTAAATTCCGAAGAGCGAGACCGACATCGGTCTCGCATTATTTGTGAGCGCTGGGTGACACGTGCTGCAGAATTTCCATCGATCCTGGCGGACTTGTTTCATCGAAGCAGTGTGACTTATTCATCCCATACCCAATGTCAGGAAAACCATCGCGGCAAGGCCAATGGGCAAAGGTACCCCAGGATTCGGCAGATCCACCCCACGTCTCTTGGTCGGAGGCCATCGGCAATACGGAGAAGTGAACAGCGGCGATTTCACCCGAGCTCGCAGTCGTCGAACTGCCTTTGCCTCAAGGGCTTGCCGATGCCACTCCCGCTTTCGGAATCGTAAAATACACGGTTTTTTTATAACGGACTCGACCGGTGGGAGCACTGTTAGATCGGGTGGTCGAAAGAGAAGTCGGACTCTGCACAACTTCAAGTTTTTGCTACAGACGACACAGATCAGCCTCACTCACTCTTCATCGGAACACTAACCTCATATTTCGCGACCGATCGAAGTCGCGTGAGCCCTGCCTGTGCGCCATCCCCGCAGGGTTGAACGTTTCTCCCCCATGGGCGGGCAAGCCGTACAAAGACAATACGGACCACCAGTGATGGCGCGGGACCACAACAGTGGGGTCGGCTTCGGAAGGCGGCAAAGCGAAGTTGGAGTTTCGGCGGATAATCGCTTTTGTCGGCTGCGTTGTTGCAGTCACTAGCCGAAACGAAGCTATGCAGCTCGTGGACAAGACCCGGGGAATTTTTGAATATCTACTTCTACTACCTCCCCCCGCCGCCTCTTCCCTCTTTTTCTTTTCTGTCTCTTCCTTTCTCCAGTTTTGGTACTCAATTCACATTTTGGCCAGGCTGATCGACAATCATGTCGCGGCCTTTCCCTGCGGTCCCAGCCGTGTTCCGCCCCGTATGGCGGCGGAATTTCTCCGCCTCCACCTCGCAAAGAGCGATTAACAAGATCTGTCCCTCGGCTCAGGAAGCCATCAAGGAAATGAAGGGTGCCTCTACTGTTCTGGTCGGAGGTTTCGGTTTCTCCGGTGTCCCCAACACATTGATCGATGCGGTGCGCGATCGCCCGGATATCAAGGATTTGACTGTCGTCTCTAACAATGCTGGCATGCCTGGTCGTGGTCTTGGTAGGTTCATTAGTCTTGGGAGGAGAAGCAGACGGTGATGGACTTCAGAAGTTCTAATTGGGAACAGGTCAATTGCTTGAGTCCAAGCAAATTTCCAAGATGATTGCTTCTTTCATTGGTGAAAACAAGGTCTTCGAGAAAATGTACTTGAGTGGTGATCTTGAATTGGAATTGACTCCCCAGGGCACTATCGCAGAGAAGTGCGCTGCTGGTGCTTCTGGTGTCCCTGCTTTCTATACCCCCGCTGCTTATGGAACAATCGGTATGTTGCGCGTTACTACTACCTTCAGTTTGGACCCAAGCTCATCCGGCATGACAGTACAAACCGGTGAACTCCCCGTGCGCTACAACAAGGATGGCACTGTGGCCCTCACGTCCAAGCCCAAGGAAACCCGCGAATTCAACGGCAAGCAATACCTCCTGGAAGAATCGATTTTTGGCGACTACGCCCTGGTCAAGGTCCACAAGGCCGACAAGCTGGGCAACTGCCAGTTCCGCAAGGCGATGAACAACTTCAACGAGGCCATGGCCAAGAACGCCAAGTACACCATCGTCGAGGCCGATGAGATTGTCGAGGTTGGCGAGATCGCTCCCGAGAACATCCACATCCAGAGCATCTACGTCAACAAGGTCATCCAGAGCACCGGCGAGAAGCAGATCGAGAAGCTCACCTTCGCCAAGGACCCCAGCGAGTTGCTCCAGGCCGGTGACAGCGAGGCGACCGCCCGCCGCGAGCGCATCGTCAAGCGTGCCGCCAAGGAGTTCCGCGATGGCATGTACGTCAACCTCGGTATTGGAATGCCCCTGATTGCCCCGGCCTACCTGCCCGAGGGTGTGGAGGTCGTCCTCCAGGCCGAGAACGGTATCCTGGGTCTGGGCGGCTACCCCCAGCCCGGTCAGGAGGACCCCGACTTGATCAACCCCGGCAAGGAGACTGTCACCCTGGACAACGGTGCTTCCCTGTTTGGATCCCACGAGAGTTTCGGTATGATTCGCGCTGGTCGCATTGACTTGACTATGCTCGGTGCTCTGCAGGTCAGCCAGTACGGAGGTATGTGATTTCCTTATCCTGCTGTTGTCAAGCCTCCCCGAGTCACAAGCTGATCGTACAATCCCTTTAGATCTGGCCAACTTCATGCTCCCCGGTAAGGTCAAGGGTGTTGGTGGTGCCATGGACTTGGTGGCCAACCCCGAGAAGACCAAGGTCGTCGTTACTATGGAACACACCGACAAGAAGGGTAACCCCAAGATTCTGTCCGAGTGCACTTTCCCCCTCACCGGCCCCCGCTGTGTGTGGAAGATCATCACCGACTTGGCCGTCTTCGAGGTCAGCCCCACCGAGGGTTTGACTCTCGTTGAGCACGCCGAGGGCGTGACCGTCGAGGAGATCCGCAGCAAGACTGCTGCTCCTTTCAAGGTTGCCGATGATCTGAAGCCCATGCTGTAAAACATTATACCTCCATCCCAAAACTTGATATCAGAGCCCACAACCAAACCACCTTTTGGTTGCGTATCTTATAGAGAAACAAACCATGTATATAATGTGAGAATGACCTTTTTTATTTTCGTGTGTTTAGAATTAGAAACAATAAATCAGACATGATTTCCCATCCATCATCCTTGTTCATAGGTGCATTGTATTGTACATATACTTAATCATAACACCCCTCCTCTCCCAACCTCCCTAAACTACCTGTCCAATAGCGAGAGGAATTAATGCCCCGTCGTAGACCGATTCTTCGACCCCGTCGTCCCGTAATGATCGCGCTCCCCCGCCTGCACTCGCTCATTATTCATCCGTCTTGCCGCGGCAATATTCGGGGCGTTGAATGGCAGTTGTTCTTCGTCTTCTTCCTCTTCCTGCGACTTCCAGGTATTTTCATAGTCGTCGACCGGGGCGTCGTCCCGGACAAAGCCGTCGACCTTTTTCGGGTGAAGGGGCGGGGAGTTGATGGGTTTGGAAGGCATTTTCTTTATCGTTTGTTGTACAGGTGGAGAGAAAAATCCTGGTATTCTTTGTTTAAGAATTCGGTATGGAGGAGTAGCTGTTAAAAGTCTTGTTTGAGTATGATATTGTAGGAAGGAAGGGAAAGGAAGTATGGTAGGGGGATGCTTGGTGGTTATATGTCGGTCTTGGAGGAGGGTTGAGTACCGTAGGTATCAGGGTTGGATGATATCATGCTATCCTCATACCTTATAGTATTATTCTCCCACCCAATCGTAGGCTGCGGAAGATGATTGAAGGGGTTTGTTGGATGCAGATATTGGATCATTGCTGAAAGGCAAATACCTCATGGGGAAAGTGTTGGTTGCATGATTGGTGGAGATGGCGTCATGGCGATGTAAGTAGATAGGTGTATGCAGGTGGTTACTCGTTGGTATGATGATATGATATGCAGAGCCTATAACATACCAATCAGGTGAGGTTGATTGAGGATCATGCACAGTCTCTCTGTTGGTGGGAGGTAGATTCCGCTCCTTTGGTGACTTCAAACAGGTGGAAATTCGACGTATGTGATTCCCGCTGTGATTCTCCCCAAGGCGGAAATACATGTAACACCGTGGACTGCTCCGGTCTGAACTTGACTAGGATTTAAGTACTGTAGTAATCGCGCTAGATGCATTATAGGCAACAATCGGTGTCGAGAATAGTATCGCATAGATCCAAGATGAAAATGTCACGCTACTGGCTAGATTCTCCGTTCTTCATCGTGACATCCCCGCTTGTGGGGTTTCTCGTGGGGCCCGGGCGGTTGGCCGAATCGAAGGCATACCTTTTCTAAACTACTACACTGGTAGTGTAAGTATGAAGTCAATTGTTCCCTGTCAAAGGCTTTTCTGCCCTGCGTAGAATCTCCCATGCCATTTCACTTCTATACCGGATAATCTACCCCAAGGACTAGGCTCGAGAATTGAGACATCATTGCGTCAATGGTCATAGTAAATATCGAATGCTATACATACATAAAGACTGATTATAGGGGTAGTAGGGAATCATATATACGTGCAGTAGCTGTCCAAACTGCAATGCACCCATCATATCAACAATCCCCCAATAATAATTCAAAAGCTATGTTTGTCGTCCCATTTGTTCCTTGTAGTCCTACGCCCACGCCGCAAGTTCTTACCAGAGATATTGCTGTTGAAAACTCACGGAGGGCGCACCTCTCCACAGGCTCGGAGTCTGTGGTGTACTCAGACCATGCCCCCGCATGTGATCCGACTGGGAACAGCTAATACGAGGGAGCTGGATTGCGGAAAACATCGGGCCGGGATGCGGCTCGACATCTCTTTCTTTATACGTCTCTCCGTGGTTCTCGAGACGGATTATCGGCTCCTTCACCGGTTCGTTAACCTCGTGCGGTTTCGTATATACGTTGCCACGGTATGGCGTTAGCGGTGGCAGCTCCGCTCTGGGCGCAGCTGTTGTGCGATAGTCATCGAGTTCGTGTGACGTTTCCGGCAACGGTTCACTGTTTCTAGAATTGAGAATATCGGATACGCTCGTTATAGCCCTGTCCGTCGAGTTGCGTCCCGAGACTGTTCGTTGTTCCTGACTGAGGCAGTCCTGCTGCCACGCTCTGACATCTTGGACGGTATTGAGGGGAAACTGTTTCCAGTACTCCGTTCCTCGTTTGCCCGATCGTGATGACGGTGTGTACGAGGGAGGCGGGCTTCTGGTGGTGGCCATGCCGGCGTGAATGTCTGATTGGGTTTCTTGCATCGACGAGGATATTTGGGCGTCGGACATGTGTGAGAGGAACTTGAGTAGCAGAGATTCGGTTTCTTGGAGTCGGTGCTCAAGAGCTTCGATGTAACCTTTGGCGGGTCCTCTGGATGAATGTTAAAACATCGGATTGATGGTGAGAGTTCCTGCCAAAGCATACCGTTTCAGCTGTTCGGGCCAGTCGCAGCGCCGATTGTGTTGGTGACATTGTGTGCAAATGGGTCTTGAGAAATAGATTATCAGTTCGAAGATGGTTTGAGCAAAATGAGCAAGTAGAAGCTTATAGTACTCACTTATTGCCATTGCACTGCGAATTGCGGGGTGTTCATGTTAGAATCGCAGACACCGATAAGGACTTCGACTGATAGCCACAGGGCGGAAGCCTTGACTTACCTTCTGCTTCCTGAACCGGCAGGAGTTGCATGCCACGGTGATCCGAGAGGCTTTGTTCACCTTGCTAGGGGCCATTTCTTCAGGCAAAACTTAATGCAGCAGCGCGGAGGGGATGTTCTGTAAGAAATTGGGACTCGACAGCCCAAAGGTGCGCGCCTGTGGGACGGGGAATTCTACCTTTCTTGTCCCCACGTTATCGCATGGAGTCAATAGTCACGAAAGTCCCAATTCGGATAAGTGCGGCAGGCTGTGGAGTCCTCGCCGGCTGAACGGTTAGCCGAAGCGCTGCGGGCTTTTCTTCTTTGGGACTCGGCAATTGCTAGGTGGATCAACAATCATCCTGTTGTCTTTGTGCTATGCTAAGGGTATGTGGGCAATTCCGTCGTGATTGTGAAACACTCATAGAGTTATAGAGTTTATACTAATGAAGTTCTCGGGGAAGCAGATTCTAGAATCGATCTGACTTGCGGGGCATGATTGTACTACGGAGCAGTAGCCTCGGAATTCAGGCTGGTGAGTACGGCGGGCTGTAGGAACCATCAAAGCAATTATGGATAAGATAACAACTGAACGGGGCATTGCTGCTTGTTGCAACACTACACTACATCAACATCCTGGTAATTAGCAGAACATTGGAGATTGGGATATTCTTGACCAGGATTCGACTTGGGGTCAACTAAGCAGGCCTAGGGAAATGGTCGCCGATGCAGTCATAGTACCCATACTATCATCCGAGAGGCCAGGATGAACTTTCAGGTTGAACTAGTTGCGGTCTACGATCTATAAAGATTCGTTCCAACATGCGGGGTATCGCATGCTGCTAACACTGGCTCTACTCCATCTACTTCCCGGACAACAGAATGGCTGGAAAGACTTCCTACCGTATTGCATCTATTCCAGGAGACGGAATCGGCCTGGAGGTGGTCAAGGCGACAATCAAAGTAGTCACCAAGCTGGCACAAACTCTCGGTACCTTCGACATCGATTTCGACCACATCCCATGGGGAACAGATTACTACCAGCAGACGGGTCGGTATGCGTCTGAAGACGCCCTGGAAATTCTGCGAAAGTTCGACGCAGGTTTGTTCGGCTCAGTAGGACATCCAGGTACTCAGCATTCCCTGCAGACAGCGTCTTAGTGCTTATAGGAACTCCTTAGATGTCCCCGACCATGTTTCCCTTTGGGGCCTGCTTTTGGCCATTCGTGGGCCCCTACAGCTCTACGCCAACGTTCGTCCCGTGCGCACTTTTCCGGGGACCAGGTCTCCTCTTGCAACTGCAACGGAGGGAATCGATTGGATGCTTGTTCGAGAGAACTCGGAAGGCGAATACTGTGGTCAGGGTGGAATCAGTCACATCAATCAGCCATGGGAAACCGCAACGGAAGTGGCGATCTTCACTCGAGTCGGTATCGAAAGGATCATGCGATTTGCTTTTGAGACTGCACGCTCGAGGCCGCGCCGCCATCTCACGGTGGTGACCAAGAGTAACGCCATGCGATACGGCATGGTCCTATGGGACAAGATCGCGGAGGAGGTATCGAAAGACTTTCCCGACGTACCCTGGGATAAGATGCTGGTGGATGCCATGACTATTCGTATGGTGAACAAGCCAGAGTCACTGGACACTATCGTGGGCACTAATTTACACATGGACATCCTGTCTGATCTCGCTGCTAGCCTAGCAGGGTCGATCGGCGTGGCTCCCTCGGCAAACCTGGATCCTACACGAAAGAACCCGTCCATCTTCGAGCCAGTCCATGGGAGTGCCTTTGATATCATGGGCAAGGGTATCGCCAATCCCGTGGCTACTTTCTGGTCAGCTGCGGAAATGCTGCAATGGCTGGGGGAGAAGGAGGCTGCGAAGAAATTGATGGACTGTGTGGAGAAAGTGTGCGCAGCTGGTATCTTGACGGCTGATCTTGGTGGCACCGCAACGACTCAAGATGTGGTCGATGCAGTCAAGAAGGAAATTGAGCAATTGTTGCCGCACCAATACTAGATCTAGTATGCTCTTTGAAATAAATCCAATAGACATGTTCCTACTCGAATTATGACTTCATCATTCTTCGAGTCATTCTAGGGCGAGCGATGTGTGACTGACTAAGCGAATGACTGCGGCGGATCCTCTTCGGCTGATTTCCGAGCCGAGTCACTTTGCTGGACCATCAATAGCTTCATTGCAGCATCCACTTTTCTGATATCTTTTTCACTGGGTACTCACAACTTGCTGGAGAGGGGCATCATGCTCCTGTCAAGATGCGGTCTCCAGTACCCGCGTCCGGTCCGTCTGAAATCGGGTCCTTGACTGCACACTCCCAGGAAGAAAGTGAATTCGTCGGCAGCTCCAGCGGCGTTTACTTCGTCAAGACCGTGCGACGGGCTTTTTCCCAGAGCCTGGGCCCGTTAGATGCTGCGTCTTCTAGCCAGGGATTTCCGCCCCCCGAAGATACTCTTGTAGGCAGCGAAGAACTGCCCTCTGCGCGGCGATCGGCTTCAGTGCCTACCGCAACATCTCCACTCGCTCGCGCGACTGGCCATGCCTTGCGACACTGGAAATATGACTCCACGGTAGCAGCGATCCTGGGGGAATTTCCGCCGCTGGGTACAGCCCGGGAGCTGATGATGATGTACTTCAAAGTATGGCATCCGCTGTTTCCTTTCCTACATGGTCCGTCGTTTCTACAGGCCATGGAAGGGCTATGCTCCGAAGGACCTGAGTCGACCGTGGAGGCTCTCCCTTCAGAAGAACAAAGACATGCTTGCTGGACCATCATCTTTCAATGCGTCTTCAATCTGGCTGGCTTATTATCTCCGCAAGCGAATCTTCTTCCGGAATCGCGCATCGAGTCCCCTAGCAAAATCCATACCCTGCTGGGAACTCTATCTTGCAGACACGATCTTCTCTCCGTGCAGGCGCTTCTCGCCTGTCAACTGTATCTCGTAGCCAAGATGTCACTTCGCGCAGCATCCACTGTCGGTGGCTGTGTGCTTCGATCTATACTACACGCGGGCCTCCATCGCTGCCCATTTCGTTACAAGGAACTCACCTCTCATGACCGACAGCTACGCAAGAGGATCTTCTGGTCCGCATATGCCATCGACCGATACCTGAGTCAAACGCTCGGTCTGCCTCTTGGGATCCAAGATTCGGATATTGATGTCTGCCCGCCTCTTGCCACCGAGATTCACATTCCAGGTTCTTATGAGAGGATCAATGCGATCAGACGCGCCATTTCCCCGATCTCTCCAGGATCGTCGCCCATCTCACCAGAAGAAGACCGATCACTCCAACCCAACAAGTCAGCTTATGGCCAACAGCCCCCGGCAGCAAGCCACCTGCCGCCGAGGGATTTCGTCGAGAATCACGAACAGCACCGACGAGAACTCGTTTTCGCCAGCTACGTCGAGTCCGGCAAACTAACAGGGCGAGCGCTCGAACTCTTCCACAAGTCCATTCTCGTGCGCTCCGTCCCTCACAGTGCGGTGCTTTACCTCATCACCGACGTCCACAAATGGTGGAACAGTCTGTCCATTGAAACCCTTCAGCACGGTGGTCATAATCAACAACAACAACAACAGGCTGCATCCGCCCGGGAAGACGCCTCCACCTCCGCCGCAACCGCCGCAACAGACCCTAACTCCCCCTTCAACTTTGCTCCCTTCTTCACCGTCCTCTACCAGCATCTCATCCTCCTCATCAACCGCCCCTCCCTGTCCCTCCACCCGTCCAGCCCTGAATTCTGCTCCGGCCTGCAAACCTGCATCGGCGCCGCGCGGGAGATCCTCGCAGCCCTGACCATCCAACAAGAAAGCGGCCAGGCCTTCTTCTGGCCCGGATTTCTATCGGCAGCATGGATGTCCGGACTAGTTCTCGCGTTTGCATGTCAACTCCAACAATACGTTCTGGCGAAGGGATCCCGGTATGTTTTAAAACTTGCTCCGTTGAATTTTTACTCCAAGTCCTTAACCTGCCCTCGCATCCATCCTCTCCCACAACCTTGTTCCCGCCTTTCCTCCAGCACCCTCATTCCCTTCTAACCTGTCTAAGCAAACCAATCACTTACTCGAATCCCCTGCAGAGAGATTTTTAGATGCCTCTCCATCCTTGAAAGCATGGCCCGTCAATGGGAAACCGCCAAACAATGCCACAGATCCCTCACTCTTCTCTCCCGCCACATCCATCATCACCACCAAACCACCAGTACTAGTACCATCCTCCAGCGCCCCGGAACGGCAAATGATACTCCTCGGACTCGAAAACGCAAGCTAGATGACCACGATCACGACCAAGACCACCTCCAGCAGCAACAGCAACAGCAACATGCCTCAGACCGACCAATTCCCTCAAGTGGTTTTGGTCACCGTCGCAGCAGCAGACTTCCTCCAACTGCAGTTTTGAGCCATCTGGTCGCTGAAGATTCCCTCGCTTATGGCCACAAGAACAACAACAATAATAATCATAATCAAAGCGATGTCACTGGATCAGCGGAGCCTTTGCTGGATGCGGGACTCTTGGGCAATCAGCAGCATCTTCATCACGAGAGAAGTAGGGACGGTGGTTACGGTGACCCAGAGGACAGGGGCCAATTCTCTGGCTTCATGGCCATGGATGGGGTGGATGCTGATATGATTGACTTGTTGCAGGGGAGCAACTTCGATGACCTGGCCGACATGTTCGGACAGCAATTCCCTACCTTCTAGTATTAAGAGTCTTGGTCACATGGTGCCGTAAATATTCACATATAGAGTCACTACTAACCTATATACTAATTACCATCATGTGTGAGCACATCTTCTAAGCTTGACTCTGGCCATAGTACTACAATTTAGCCTACGTCTACACAAAGTGAAAGAAACCAGCAAGATTATACATCCCGTGAGGAAGTCATAAGTCTATATTACACTCGTGTCATATCATCGGATACGAGGTAGGTTGAAGTTCTGACGGGATAGGAAGAGAGAAAAGCAATATCGCAACTTCCTTCCCCAGTCTGGTTCATAACAACATGTAGATGAAGAAGACGATCGCAACCATGACATATCCGAAGAAGCAACTTTTATCTCCGATCCCAGTCTTTGTAACAGTTCAAAGTTTTTCCCCCGCTTGCATCATGGAATCAACCCGTTTGCGCGCAACACCGTTTTCATCAATTGAATCGTGAAAAGAAGAAGTTGACCACATAGCATGCTCAACCCCTTGAGAAGTGGGAAGAAAAATGGAATGGTATGAGAAGAAGGATCCAATAACATGTTGCTCACTGAACAAGGCCCGACGACACCACGCACAAAGAAACTTTTGGGAACCCAGGGATATCAGACCAGGACGGAAATAGGGGAAAAAAAAAAAAAAAAAAAAAAAAAAAAAAAAAGAAAAGAAAAGAAACGGAATAGAGAGTATGAGGGGGAGGGGGATGAGAAAGGTCGAAGATAAGGGAGATAAGGGAGATAAATCGTTAATTGAGTAGAAAGGAGTAATCGAGGTCATCAAAAGTAGGTGGGAGTCAAAATCCCGACATGGCAGTCTGCAGTATCAGGCCGCCGCGGCAGGCATTTGAGACACTAATTTACGACTTGTTCTCTTCGGTCGCGGTCTCCTTGGCCTCCTCCTTGGGCTTCTCAGCCTCGCCGGAAGCCTCGGGCTCGCCACCCTTGTTCTTCATGTACTCATCATAAACGCTGAGGGCCTCATCGACCTTAGCGCGGAGAGCTTCGTCATCCTCGAGCCTGGGAGATGGAATATTAGCTTCGGCTCAGGATCGCATATTGGGATAAAAAAAAAGTCCAGGGAATACTCACAGGCTGAGAAGCTCAGTGTTCTCCATCTCGAGAAGCATACCGGTGATCTTGCCAGCAAGCTCGGGCTGCTGGGCCTGGATCTTAGGGTAAAGAGCCTCACCAAGCATCTGCTTCTGCTGAGCAGGAGGAGCAGCACCGAGGGTCTGGGCGGTCAGACCGGCGGGAGCACCCTCCTGGTTGGCAGCGGGCTGAGCAGCGTTCTGTCCGCGAGCACCCTGGCCAGGGCGCATCTGACCCTGCTGGAGGGGAACACCGCCACGGCCGTAGCCGGGACCACCGCGCATACCCTGGCCCATGGGCATGCCAGGAACCTGACCACGGCCACCAGCGCCGCGACCGAACTGAACCTGACCCATCTGAGGATAACCCATGCCGTTAGGAATGCCACCAGGGCCCTGCATGGCGCCCATGGGAATGCCCTGGGCGAAGTTGGGGGGCATCTGCTGGTTGGGACCCATGCCGCGACCACCCTGCTGACCAGGGAAAGGACCGGGGTACTGGCCAGGGCGTCCACCGGGGATACCCATGACCATGCCGGGCTGAGCGGGGAAGGGCATACCACCACGCTGGCCACCAGCGGGGATGAAGCCCTGCTGACCGGGACCGTAGAAGACGGCGGGTTGCATGTACTAGGAATGAGTTAGCTTGGAAGATAAAAAAAAAAGGCAAAATCCGATGGGGAAATACATACAGGTTGGGGCATACCAGCGGCAGCGGCGGCTTGCTGCTGTCTGATGGTGTTGCGAGCCTGGATGCTGGCCTCAAGCTGGCTTCTGCGGACGTCCTTGCGCTGAGCAAGAGCGACGTAGAGGGGTTTGCCGTTGATCATGCGCTGGTTCATCTCGGTGACAGCCTTGGAAGCCTCATCGGGGCTGCTGAAGCAGACGAAACCGAAGCCCTTGCTCTTGCCAAGACCCTTCTTGTCGGACTTCTTGGACTCCTTCTCGTCGGAGGACTCGCTGGCCTTCTCCTCGGTCTTCTCGGTAGATTCCTCGGCGGCCTCCTCGGTGGCCTCCTTCTCATTCTCCTTGTTGGCCTCCTTCTCCTTACCAGCAGAGTCGGGAGACTGGGTGCGTTCACCGTTGACACTGTCGCGCATGACCTTGGCGGAGGTGATGGTGCCATAAGGTCCGAAAAGCTCGCGCAACTTCTCGTCGTCGACATCATCAGTCAAGTTCTTGACGTAGAGGTTAACACCCTGGTACTTGGAGGCCTTCTCCAAGCGGGCAGCCTCGTACTGCTTGCGGAGCTCCTCCTCACGCTCGTGCTTCTTCTGGGCACGGCCAACGTAGAGCTTCTGAGTGCGGATCTCCTTCTCGTTCATCTCCTCAACGGCGGCCTGCGCGCTGTCGTGGGTGGAGAAGTTGACGAAGCCGAATCCACGGCTCTTGCCCTCCTGGTCACGGCTCAGGGTGGCGGAGGTGATCTCACCGAACTTCTCGAAAAGCTTGCGGAACTCCTCGTCATCGATGTCAGCGTCCAGGTTCTTGATGTAGACGTTGGTGAAGTTAGCCTTCATCTCCTCGAACTTGCTCTGACGGTCCTTCTTGGAGATGTGGTGGCCGACGAAGACCTTCTTGTCGTTCAACAGCATGCCGTTGACGTGCTTGATGGCGTTGTTGGCGGCCTCAGCAGTCTCGTAGTGAACGAAACCGTAGCCCTTGGAGTTTCCAAACTCATCCTGAGCGACCTTGCAGCTCAGAATGTTACCGAAAGCAGCAAAGGTATCGTGGAGAGCCTTGTTGTCGATGGCGCTGTCGAGGTTCTTGATGAAAACGTTGCCCTGACCAGTCTTGCGGAGGGCGGGGTCACGCTGGGACCACATGATACGGCAGGGCTTGCCCTTGATCAGAGTGTAGTTAAGGTCTTCGAGAGCGCGCTCACCGTCAGCGGTGTTGTTGTAGTTGACGTAGGCATATCCGAGGGAGCGTCTGGTGACGGCATCACGGCAAACACGGATGGAGGCGACCTGGCCGATGGAGGAGAAGAGCTCGTAGAGCATAGCCTCGGTGACAGAGGGGTCGAGTTCACCGACATAGAGGGAAGCGGAGTGAGGCTGGTTGTTGTTGGGGGCAGGAGCGGCGTTCTCAACAGCGGTGACCTCGGGGGTTCCACTGGGAGCAGCAGCAGCAGCAGCAGGGCTGGCCTCAGGGGCGCCGTTGGCAGTGTTGTCAACGACGGGAGTGGTAGCAGCTTCAGCAGACATTTTTGTGGTGTTACTGTAAGAAGAGAAGGCGAGTTAGTTGAAGCTCAAACTCGATTCAATCCAGGCAGCGAAAGCGGCAGGATAAGCGTGTTGTTTTCACAGGGTTTCGGCTGTAAGCGAGAATCACAAGATACAAAGTATAGCATCAACCATTGGCGACAATCACGAAGCACACAGAACGACAAGTATGAGCAAATGCGCGGTGTCACGAAGGCAGCTGCTGTCCACCAAAGTGATGGAAAAGCAAGCACAAGCGTGGTTTGGGGTAGTGAGGAGGAGGATTAATGATCAGAGTCAAGGCGACAAACGTACGACCTAGATGAGCACCAGGCAGGTCTATCGAAGACAGTCGAGAGGACGGGAAAGCAGAGGACCGCGGTTAAGTCAAAAAGCAAAACAACACACTATCACACAAAGTGGTGGATAGAGAGTAGTCGACAGTGGACAGCAAGAAAGGGAGATGAAATTGGATGGAAGTGTCTGAGTGGAAAGATTTCTCCAGCTGCAAGCACGCCCACACAACACGCACACACACACACCGCACCGCACAGTCCGCAAGTAGTGTGGGAAAAAAAAAGTGACAGAATATACCACGAGATCACGAGAATGAGGGGATCAGAGGGGGAGTTATACTTTAGTTTTTTTGTAGGTTTTCCGGTTTTTTTATGAATTTTTTTCCGATAAGAGAATTGGAAAATAAGGGAGAGAGAGATGAGAGAAGGAAGAAGAGAAGAGGTGGGGGAAAAAGTGCTGGGGATGAGGCAGCAGAAAAGGCTTTTATTATTTTTTTGGGAGGGGGGGGGAAGGAAGAAAAGAAAAGAAAGAAAAAGCGGATGAAGAGGGAAAGAAAGAATACTAGACGGCGAACGAAGATTGAAACAACCTTTTTGGTCTTTTTGGTCTTTTTGGTCTTTTACTCACTGGGTGATTTAATTTTTTCAACTTTTTTCTTACCTACAAACTGTTCTGGAAAAGTCAAAGAGAGAATTTTCTCAGTCTCTCTTTGGGTCAGACACTCAGCCTAGTCTTCTTTGGGCGATAGTCTCTCGCCGCCTCAACGGCTTATTACGGAATGGTGGGTTTTGCTGGGGGTTAAGTAAGGCTGTTAGCTTCCAGCGGCAAAGAAACGCAAAAACTCAACTCGGGTTCAATCATTGTATGGCAGCCCGTATGCCTCAGGTGTCAATTCAAATTGACAATCATCGACGTTTGGCACTATGTGCTTGAATCACTGGGTTCTTTATTTGGGAATCTAAATGTAAATAAGATGCTACCTTGAAAATGACGACCATCTCATACTTTCAAGTGTGAGATAGCGCCATGATGAGCAAATCGGGAACCACAAAGATGGAGGTCAAAACGATAGGAACAATAAAAGATTGATCACCATGACGCCTGAGCTATGCAAATCGAGTCAAGGGTTCATTCGATACACACCCAGATAAACGTGCGTAAAAGCTCTATTGACAAATAGTCTCAACAAACCTCAGCTCAAGTCAAAGCCGGCTCCAGAGTTGACAGCATAAAGAAGTTTCTCCCGTAGCAGCTCAGCGTTACTGTACCGTGGGAGCTTGAGAAGATTTACGCAGGTGCTGGTGCTAGGCAGTCGATCCTGATCCTCACTGGAATCACGGATGCTGAAGCGGGGGTTGAGATGGCTGAAACCCAACAAAGGCGCCCGCGGAGTGGAGGTGACAAACCGAAGCACGTTCTGCCTTTGTTCATTCGTCATACTCTCCATGACTTGCCAGAACAGCTTGATCGTCGGATGCTCTTCATTGTCGTCCCCGATTGTATAAACTCCGCCATAGAGAGTGTTACGTCTCAGATCTGCAACGTCAATCTCACCTCGGTCCCCGCTAACGAGAGTCTGCAGCTCCGTCTGGTTGAACATGGATAGCCATGACGGCTGTATGATCTGTCCAAGTCCTTGCAGAAAAGCGTTCGTCTGTAGCGCAGGTTGGACCTGGAGGCGATAGCGAGCGATATAGGAGATGTACACCAGTCGGTTCTGGTTCGTCACGGGTATGTCAGACCCTTGACTTTTCAGGTCGCGGGTGATTGTTCGACTGCCCGAACCCGGCAGAGGTATAGTGTCGGTAATAGTGAAATTCAAGGAAAAATCTTCCACATCGCCCGGGTAGTTCTTCAGTTGGAGCTGCAAACAAATAAGAATCAATGACTATAGCATAAGGTCGTTCGCAACATAGAACTTACCAGACCCTGATAAAGCCCTTGATCCAGATCCTTGAGATCGTTGAGGTTGGCACGATATGCCGTTTCCCGCTGGGCTGAGCCTGCTCCCCCTGACAATGCCCACTTCAGCAGGAAAAATGGCGCGAAGTTGACGTCGACCAAAATGCCTTCATACATGCACTTCCCAATGATCCGACCCAGGAACTCATACCGTCTGAGGAACTCCCGTACTTTTTCGTTCCAGTCTGGAGTGTTCTCTTGCAAGCCGATCTGCCTTAACAGCTCTTTGCGTTGCTCGACCGCCGCCGGGTTGGGATAGAGCAAATGTTGGTCGTTCTCTTCAAACAAGCTCATCTCGTTCGTAGATTTGAAAGCCTCACTGGTCACACTGGTCAAGAATTCTTTGGTCACACCACCGCCGTCAATCCCAGCTTCCGCATTGTTCCACTTGTCGATGAATGTGATCTGGATCGGCTCCTTGAGACCCTCGCCCAGCTCGTAGAACTCCTGGAATGCATCTTCGAAGACACTCTCACGCCTGATATTCGCATGGTGGCGACTTAAGACATCGTGCGCAGCAGGGCGCCCATCGATCATACGGCCCATAGTGGCTTCGGCTACTGACATACGCCAGGCATCTGGGTCAACAAACCCGTGTCTCCGGCGGATCTGATCGCGATATATAAATTCGCGAAAAATCTGAACTCTGGTTGCAAATGGGATGAAAAAGGGCATGTTCCTGAGAATTTCAAGTCGCGGGGCTACCGCTTCGAGTTGCTTTCGGCGAGCAGCTTGTTGTTGGCGACGTCTGAGAGCCTCAACCCGACGGGTTTGCTGAGCACGGCCGGTGCCAATAAGCCCTAAGGATGGCTCAAAAAGAGTATCTGAAGTTAGATCATTCTCTGCTTCATCGTCCTCATCCTGAAGTTGATGTCGGTTCTCCTCCTCCGCAACAACGGCGGGAATGAATCCTTCCATGTCGAAACGGCTTGTCATCAACCAGTGCCCGTCAGGGAGGAATTTCCTTCTCGAATCTCGCTCGTGAATCATCCTCAGTAAGCCTGTGACAAGGCCTTTGAAATAGTCAAGAGGGATGCCCGTAACACCAGCAAGCCCTTTCTCCTTGTTCTTGGTCTCGATCTCTCTTACACCCGCCATGGGATCAGACGGGAGCGCGGAGGAGCTGAAATAACTTCGAATCCCACCAGTACCCTGGACAATTTCGTGCTCACTCAGATCTGCTGAGTTCCAATACAACGTGAATCCAAGATTCTTAAGGAAGACCGTCATCTCTTTGATATCTGTCAACGGCAAGGCGCTCTCCTTGGTCCATGACACTCTGGAATTAGACGATGCTGTGAAAGAGGACTCATTCGAGAAAAACTCTTCGTCGTCCATCACCTTCAGCACGAATGTATAAAGTTCAAGGAAGAGAAGGATTATAGTCCATTCTTCATCCCTCTCTGTCTGGGACATTCCCCTAAGTCTTAGATCCACGGAGTCATCAGCAGGCTTCAGTAGAGGCAGAACCTTAGATGAGTCTTGACTTATGGCAGCGAAGATTCGGCTAGATCTAGATGCGTGCCAGAAATATTTGATGGCCGGTATTTGGGCGCCCTTGTGACCTGTCAACTGCTGGTCCGATGTTGCTGAGCCTAGATACAGCCACATGCGGATGTCATCACCGCGTCGAGGAAACACTCTCAATAGTGTCAGTGCATATGTAGCAAGGACCTTCGCTTCCCTGGATGCATCCGAATGAGCGTCTGCTAGCTCGCCTTGTGAGAGCTGCGTGGATTGGAGCTGAGAAAGGAGGCCTGTAATACTGCTTTGATTGACAAGGCTGGCGAGCTGGTCTTTGATGAAAGGATGAAACGGAGCTCTTTCGGGGTCGTTCTCCACGTCATTAGTATCATCCTGTCCCATACGCCGGGATATGTGCATTGCAGTGGAATTCAGCATGTCAGACACGACCTTGACAAAGCCAGAGTCTGGCGCTTGCTGCCCGGCCTGGTTTCCCAATGCAGACCGATGAAAGTAGATGTAATAAGCGAGCATCCAGAGACAAGAATCTGTATCCTCGCGCTGACGCTCACGGAAATACCCCTGCAAAGGGCTAAGAGCGGACGTCAAAAGCTTGTAGTTGATACTGTTAGCCAGACGATCCAAATTACCGAGATATCGGGGAAGATCTGGAATGGTCAAGTAGCACTTCGCAAACCATTCATAAGCTGTCAGAGTTTCGGAGGTGATCGGCCGAAGCACGGCCAAAACGCACTCGATAAGGCTGTCCCCGGAAAGTTGAGACTTCCCAACCGTCGTCAGGATCGTCATGACAGAATAGTAGTCACGGCCAAGGCGGGCTATTTGCTTCGGTATGAGACCCGTGAGAAAAATGAGTAGCTGAAGAAGAGGGCCGATCGCAGATGCCGGCAGCGTCGGAGTCGTTGCGGTACGGAGCACACGAAGAGTCAATCTCGCCAGTCGAGTCAACGGCGTCGTCCATTCTCCCTCGGTCGCTATCGTGGGGACTTCATTCAGGGTTTTCTGGAAGACCCCCGAGAAGTACAGCAGCCGGAGGACATCATCACTCTTCCACGGTTCCAAGAAATGCACGAGCAGACGCAGCTGTGACAAGCAGGCCGCGGCCGTCTCATAGCGGTGAGGCTGCTGTAGAAATGCATCTTGCTGCTTCAGGAGGCCTTCAAATGAGAAAAGGCCCCCCGTCGCCTGCTTCTGCGTGGCATCCCAGTCGGTACGCCACACATTGTGCGTTATCTTCCTACTCCGATAACCCCTCCATGTCCGTTGTATAACCCGACTCGCCCCTAATCGCTCCCTCTCCTGCTGTCTCAGTAACCGTTCCTGTTGAGCAATTGCAAGCGTATTCTGCGGACCTGCCCCGTGGGGGTTCTGTCTCCCGGAGGGATATGCGGCGAAAGGGTTCGTGTTGCGGCCTCCAAGGTTGACCTGCCGTGGACGACGGGAGTTCCCCGTAAATGATTGAAACATGACTTGTTGGAGGTCACGTCTAGTATAGAGGAATAGAAGATGAAAATGGCGAGATGAGATTTATTGTGACGGATATTATAGGCATGACACAGACGGTTCCATGTCGCAATGCGCAAGGAAATGCCCCAGTTATGCGGCGAAGTGTCGGAGGCGTTGGAGGGGAAATGAGTGAATGATGAATTGGGCCATTCTTATGCCATAAGGTACGGTAACTACTCGAGACTGACGGCCGAACTGCTCGTGCCGATGCGGAGCAAGCGTCCTTACGGCCACGCACTGTTCATGCTGTGTGTTTTCTATTGCCACTTCCCCCACCCCACGGATGCGTGACTTTCATCCGCTACGTGATATTGCTACATACAGATGACGGATCAATTTAATGCTAGCAATGTATTATTAAGAGATACTTCGAGAATCTGTTGCTGGTAATCGTTGTCAAAAGCCCTTATCTTACTTCATACGCCGAGATTACCGGCAGTTATGCCTGTGCCAATGGTATCTGGCTCATGCAAAATCATGATCGCTGCCCGAAATATATACTTATCGAATGGGTACTAGTATGCGTGATAGTAAGTGATTTGTCACTGCCATCGGAATACTTGCAAGTTGAAGGAAACATGTAGTCCATTGACACAAAAGGTCGACCATTAGCCAATTACATTTATGGTCTACTTGATAAAACCGTCAAGTCCGATATACTAGTCACCTGCAATTTATCCCTACTACCTAGTATATACGGAGTAATATCAAACAGCGGGCTATTTGACTCAGTTATGAGAGTCCATGTATTTGAACAAAGCAAGACTATATGATCGTTTGCTGAACTGCAGAAAAAGCCCAAGAGACGCCCCAAAACCAATACATGCATCGATGAAATGCTAACCCAGTAAGGTACTAAGGACCTGTCATCCCCTCTGCGCCCTAGCCAAGTATATCGTCCAAACGAACGATGTCACCCGCCTTTCAGCACCACAAACAAACACTATACATATGATACAACCAGTACAAACCAGACGCTGAATTCTGGACAGGCTGGAACGTCCCCAACAGTGACTGCCACATCAACCCGGTAATCGCCATTGTCGTTAAGAGAGGGGGAAGCGACTGCCGGAAGCAGTGAGGGTGTTGCCCCAGTATGAACGTGTTTCTTTCCAGGGATGAGTATCTCATGGTGTCGTCGACTTGGCCGTCTCGGCCTCCGCAGCTGCCGCCTCTTCCTGGAGCCTTGCGGCAAGAATGGCATCCTCCTCCGCTCTGACCTTCTTGTACTCAGCCCGGCGAGCAGCCTTCTTGGCCTTTTCACGCTCCTCCGCAAGTTTAGCCTCCTTCTTGGCTCGGCGCTGCTCCTTTTTCTCGAGCGCGGCGTCTAGGCGCTCCTGCTCGAGAACCTCCGGACCGTTGTCCAGCGCCCACATATCCAAGTAGTCCTTGCCCTCGAGAGCACGCTCCACCGTGATGACTCTGTCATTTTTCACCAGTTCGCGGGTGTACTTGGACTGCGTCGGGCTCATGACTTTCGTGACGAACGGGGTAAGCTGATTTATTTGCGATCGACACATTAGCTTGCTTGCTTGACACGATCACAGCCAGTTGATTCATGAAGTCCTCCCACTTGAACTATAGCTCCCATACCTTGAATTGATCCAAATTATCGGGAACAACGTATGTGCGGACTTTCTTCCAGTCGATCACGTAGGATCCGTTCTTTGCGAAGAAACCCATGGAGCCGGTCCGGTTTCCCTTGTAGTAACCGCCATTGACTTGCTTCGTGGTCAGGCGCAAGCGCGCCATCATCGGCTTGGAGGGCTTAAACATGACGGAGTAGGATTGACGGCGGGGACAATCTGTCAAAAGGTCCTTTCACATTCAATGGGTTTTGCGGAGATCGAGGGGACGGAGGGACGGACGGTCAGCGGACAAAAAGGCTCTTCTGGGGGTTCGGACGGCACTAGGAGTATCTCCGCCCCGCCAAGACCTTTTTTTTCTTGATCCGCATCAACTACTACAGAAAAAAAAATCCGGCCGCAATTGTTGCAGTCAGTACACAACCTCATCTGCGCAAAGTCGTTGCGTGGTATTATATTTTTATTTAACGACATCCCGGCATTTCGCATTTGATATTCTCGCTTGTATAGACTTCATTTCGGTTATATCACCTCCCAGAGCGAGGACCAGCAGCCATGCCTCGCCAGCAGACGCAAATGCGCGGTCCGACGGACCGAGACCGCAAACCGGCCCCCAAAAAGAAATCCGCCCAGAAGAAGTCATCTGGAAAGATGCTCAATGCGTTTTCCATCGCAGAAAGTGAATTCCCGACCAAAGTGAAGATGAGGCGGAGTCGTTTTGGAGAAGAAGATGAACAGTTCAAACGCAAGCGCAACATCGGTCGCGACCCGGAAGATTCAGACACACCGGACAACAAGCGCCGTCGGACTGGCGATGACGAATCTGAGATGGGATCCAATGTCGGTAGCGATGGCGAAGGGAATAGGTGGAGACTGGGAGAGGTTGACAGCGACGATGACGAGGATATCGACAGTGACGAAGCGTTAGGCTCTAGCGACGAGGAACGGTTCGAGGGTTTCACCTTCCGTGGCAGCTCCAAGCCGAAGCATAAGGTTCCGGAAAAGAAGAAGCGTACTCGCGAAATCACTCTGTCGGAAGATGTGGATGAGTCTGAAGAAGACGACGACGACGACGACGACGAGCTAGACGACGATGACGATCTCGGTGAGGACGCAGTCGACTTGGCTACTGCTTGGGACATGAACACGGCGATGGAGGATGAGGAGGAAGCTAAGAATGCAAAGGCAAGATCGAAGCAGGCGGCAGGGAGCGACGATTCGGAAGAATACGACAGCGGAACTGAAGAAAGCGACTCCGACGATGACAGTGAACTATCATTCTCTGAAGACGAAAACGATGGTGATCAGCAGCATGGCCTCGCAAAACTACAGAGCTTTGTCGACTCAATGAACACCCAAACTGCCTCCAAACCGACTCGGAAGACGGGTGGTGGGCAAGAACAAGCGACTCCGACAGAGTTCGGCTTGACGTCTACACGCAAACTCACCGTTGCCGATCTTCTACCTTCCATCACGGACTCCCGGCTCAAGAGCTCATTGAAGCACGTTGACTCAGATGCGTCTGCGCCTAAGAAGTCATCTGGCATTCCTGGAAAGTTGGATGCTCCTCTCGCAAAGCGTCAGCAGGATCGCCTGGACCGAGCGGCTGCATATGACAAAAGCAAGGAAACACTCGACAGGTGGCTAGACACTGTCAAGGCCAACCGTCGGGCTGAGCATCTCATGTTTCCTTTACCCGACCCAGATGCAACCCAACAACATCGCCTGAGCGCGCCTGAGCCGCGCACCGATCTTGAAAGCACGATTCAGAATATTCTTGTTGAAAGTGGACTTGCGGAGACGAACGGAAAGTCGGCCGAGGATCAGTTACAGGCAATGGAAGAACTACAAGAACGCAGACTACCCATCGAAGAGATTCAGGCTCGTAGAGCCGAACTACGGAAGAGACGTGATCTGTTGTTTCGGGAAGAAGTACGCGCGAAACGAATCAAGAAGATCAAGAGCAAGTCTTATCGCCGGGTGCACCGCAAGGAACGCGAGAAACAGGAACTTCAGGAAAGACAAGCTCTCTTGGAAGCCGGTGTTGATTTAGATGAACTGGAAAGAGAAAAGAACGAGCGTCTCAGGGCGGAGGCGAGAATGGGTTCCAAGCACAAGGAAAGCAAGTGGGCAAAGAGCTTAAAACAGACTGGTCGCACAGCTTGGGACGAAGATGCTCGGAGGGGCACACAGGAGCAAGCCTTGCGCGAGGAAGAACTCCGTAAGAGGATCGAAGGCAAGAGAGTCAACACCGGTGACGAAGATTATCTCGGCTCTTCTAGTTCTGAGTCGGAGGACGAAGATCCCTGGGACGAAGAGGCTGCTTCAGATGCCGAGAAGCGCAAGATCCGCCAGAAGCTTAGCAAGCTCGAAGGAAATGACGAAGACGATGCAAGCGAGTACAAAGGTCCTCACGCGAACCTGATGAAAATGAAGTTCATGCAGGAGGCACAGGCTGCACGCAAAGCAGAGAACGATGCAGAGATCCGCCGGCTCAACCGTGAATTACATGGTGAAGAATCTCAATCGGAGGCCGAGTCTGAGTCTGAAGTTGGACGGCGCAAGTTTGGCAAATCTGAAACGGATGTCAAGGGGAGCAAGCCCAAGGCAGCCCCTCGCAACGAGTTCGAGGAGGCTCCCGGATCAGACGATGAGCCAGATGTGCACGAGGTAGACGAGGACGTGAAGATCGTCCTCGACCGCCCACAGAAGAAAGGACAGGCTCCCAAGAACAACAAGACCAACGCCCGGCCCTTGAGCCAGGTTGCAGAACGCGAAGAATCCCCAGTGGAGGAAAACCCGTGGTTGGTGCAAACTACTCGGAACAATCGCCGGGTGACAGCCGACGACACTCAACAGACTGTCGACATCACGCTTGAAGATGCTAAACCAAGTGATGCTGGTGCTAAGGGTGTTTCCAAAGTCCAAAAGAAAGCTGTCGTCCCAAGCAAGAATCCCGACGCTGATGAATACGACAGCGAGGAAGACAGTGTACCAGTGCTGCTCAAAAACCACGACCTCGTGAAGAGGGCTTTCGCGGGAGATGAGGTTGTCCAGGACTTCGAGCAGGAGAAGCTTGATACCATCAAGGAAGAAGATGACCAGGTCATTGACAATACACTGCCCGGCTGGGGCAGCTGGGCTGGTGATGGGATCAGTAAGAAGCAACAGAAGCGCCAGAAACGTTTCTTGACCAAGGTCGAGGGCGTGAAACCTGAAGACCGGAAAGATGCCAAGCTATCCCGAGTCATTATCAACGAGAAACGAGTCAAGAAGGTAAGGACCACTGCATTGGGATCGATTATATGCGAACTCGTCACTAATATTTTTTGTCGTCCCAGAACAACAAGTATATGGCCCAACAGCTTCCTCACCAATTCGAGAACAAACAGCAATACGAACGGTCTCTCCGTCTCCCTATTGGTCCCGAGTGGTCTACCAAGGAGACTTTCCAGAGTGCCACCAAGCCTCGCGTGATGATCAAGCAGGGCGTCATTAAGCCCATGTCGAAGCCCATGGTCTAATTGTCATTTCTGCATTGATTGCAGGACAGTGGCATCGAAGTATACCGAGGAGGAGATTTTCTGAGGGCTTGCCCAGAGTGTTGTGCATTGTTTTCACGATTGATTGTAGAGTTAAATTGGGTCATGATACCAAGTCAGCTTGACGGACACTGGCAAGAAAAAAGTCGATTCTGCAGCCATCTACACATTATGCGGCAATTAGTACCTGTTTCCTTTTAGAGAGACCGTCCTAGTGACACTGGGACTTGTCATAGTCTCCGGGGTTGGTCATCCCCAACGTGTATCTAGTATGGTTGACGGACTGAACAGCAGTGTCTGCTTGGCTGGAGCTGATCTGGTCGTGTGAACCCATCTGGACCCTCCATGGGCTGCAGGCCGAACCACATGGACATTAAATCTGAAACGAACCATTGACACGGTCACATCGACATGTTCAGCCTGGCTACTTTGAAATGAACTCGTGTCATGTACTATGAGGGCTGGCTGACTCGTCTGACTGGAATGTGCTGGACGATGGCTGGGAAGCACACGTTAAGCCTAGGGCCCGCTTTAGTATGAGACATTCTTTCCAGCCTTCATCAAAGCTGGCATCTTTGTGTCGGGGTAGGAGGACGAATAGGTAGAATCAATCAAGTGTCCAGGTGAAATTCAGCCTACTTCGGAGTAAGGAAGGATAGTGAACAATCCTGAATCCTAAGCCGGTACGCTTACGGAATAGAAAGTGAAGAAATGGTTGAGAGAGGAGGACAACACAGTACACAGTACAGTACACAGTACACAGTGCACAGTAAAAGCTGCTGCTGCTGCCTTGTTCCTGGGGCTCCACTCCCGGCTCCATCCCGCATCCATCGCCGTCATTCTCCCCCTCCCATGGTTTGTTTGTTCCAACTGAATTCATCCTTCAACCTAAAAACCATCCACCCAAACATCACGACACCCTTTCTTGTTCAAATCATCAATTCTCCTTAATCCAATTGTACATGTACGTACCTTTATCACCTGCTCCCATCATTCGTCGTCCCTGAAAGACCTCTGTCTCTATCCAGACCCCATGCACATACCCGTGTGCTCCAGCTGCACTGCATACGCCGTTCTGCCCGCTGTGCCTGACTGCCTATGCACATTCCTCCCCTCCTCGACCCTGCATTCCGCCGCATGAGTTGTTATGCTTTATATCCTTCGCGATCGTTAACATCCTGACAGATCGACACGCTGTGATCCCCTTTCGGTAAATTGACTTGGGTGATCTCTATTTTTCCTGGTATCTTTATGCACGAGGAACGGAGTTTATCTCGCGCCTGGTGAGATTCTTGTTGGCCGAGGCCGGAATCTATACTCGCGACCAGGTAAGCAATGTTGACATCCTTCTATTTATTCGGTCCTGCAATCCTTTTGTGCTGTCGACTCAGTCTTTATTTTTTTTTTCTGTTCTCTCTGCTTCCCATTCCAGCTTTCTCGACACTCGTTTTTATATTCATTTTGGTGTGTGCCGGCGCTTTCTGTGTCGTGTACACCGGTTCCAGCATCGGAGGTAGAATTTGGATACACTCTTTAGCCATTTCTTCTCCTTTTCGCCCATATATACCCCTTATAATTACCTATCTTCATACCTTCGCTTGTGGGAGACACATTGCAACTTCGTGCACTTCGTAAAAGATGGAGAGACGAATGAAATGGCACCAGTCACTCTTGCTAACATGGCTGTTGGCCGCAGAGAAGGTTGCCTCAGCACCACAGATTACATCCTCAGCGACGACCGCGTTGAGGACCCAGTTCCCCCCAGCTCAGACTGAGAGGCTACTTATTCCAGAGACACAGGGTGTAAGTTCATTCATCATAGAGGGAGGGTTTGCTCTTGCTTATTTTGAACCAGTACTACCCAACCAGTCTTGAACGCGAAGGCCGTCCGTCTTCACAACCTTATCCCACAGTCACGAATGTGCCGCATAATCTCGACGACTTGTTGCATAACCTGGAAAGCCCGGCAGATCTGATCGATCTCTTATTGCCTGATTTTGGAGATATTGATCTCGACTCCCCAGTCGAGGCGCCAGAACCAGATTCTACCTCCGAAGAAGACAGTCCTTTTCATAGACCAACTGGCCACAGGCCCACTCCCACTGGCACAGATAGCGACGACACTGACGACAATACCGAAGACGAATCTGACGATTCTGACGATAGTCCAACTTCTGCGTATTCCACCGGAAACGCTTCAACAGGAACCTCAACCACGGCAGTTCCCGACAGCAAACCAAGTGAGGCTTCTAGCCCTGCTGCCTCTTCGCAATCAACCGTTGTGCCAAGTAAGTTATGTATCTAGCCATATACGGCATGCGGTCTAATCTTGACTGGCTTTAGGCTCGGTCACACAAATGTCTGGTGGTCAAGATGTGTTTGTGCCCCTGGCTACGGGGGCAATCCCTCAAGTTGTGACATCGAGAGATGATCACCCCATGCCAAAGAAAGGAATTGTACGTTTCATGAAGAATGTTGCCGATATCCGTCTAACTGTCATAGGAAAACGTCAATACGCCTATCGAGACAAATAAATTCTACAGCGGCATTTTTCTAGGATCGCAGACCAATGCTACGTTTACTCATCCATATGCCGTGGCCTGGGCTAAAGGGTCTGGTAATGCACAGAGCTATGGTATGGCAGTTTGGCACAACGAGGCGAACGTGGTTGCGAACGGGCCAACGAACTCGAAGATACCCGGGAACCCCATTTCGTATTTCGTGAACCCGATCGGCATCCAGCACCTTATTCTCTCAGCAACCGAGCTCAAGGCATCTACCGTGCTTACCGGGGAAAACCTTCTGCCATTCTCGGCGGATGCCGTCTTGAAACCGGACAGCGGGTCCAGTCAGCGTCTTACGGTCCCTCTTGTGCAAGGTATGGGTTTTGTGACTGGCATGTATACGAATTTGCAGCCTCTCATCCAGACTGGTGTATTCTTCAGACAAGTTGTTTCGGCTGCCTCTCCAAGAGTTGGCATCTTCAAGTACAAAGCTACCATGGAGGATGGAAGCACATGGCTCATCTATGCCGTGCCGCAGGATGGCAAAGACCCTAACTTCCAGCTCGAGTCCAACACCAACTTCCGCGGCCCAGCTGGATGGTCTGGGTTTGTACAGGTCACCAAGAACCCTGCTGGAGATTCAGGGGAGAAACTGCTCGACGGATCGGCCGGCGTCTTTGCTCTAGAGGCTGCGATCTCTGGAACTGTGAGTGCCCGCACAGGCACGTACCAGCTGTCTTGGGCCAAGTCGGGAACCAAGACACAGGATACCCCATTGATGATGTACGCTCTGCCTCATCATGTTGAGTCGTTTGATGCCACCACCAAGGGCCGGATGACAAGCATCACTCTTCGAACAACTACAAAGGGGAATGCGATAGCGGTTGTTGGGGAAACGTGGACTATGGTCGAGCCGGATCTTCCTATCGACATGGGATTTGCTCCATGGTCCACTTCTGCCGGGAATGTAAACAGTATCTCGTCAGCGGCACAGAAGGTCATCCTGGGCGTAGCACCGACAGAGCTCAATCAGAGCATCGACGCCCAGACCAACTTGAACAGCATGTACTACAGTGGGAAAGCGCTGAGCAAGTTCGCGACCTTGGTGTACACCGTGAACCAGCTAGGCGGAAACCCTGATCTGGCCGCCTCAGCGTTGCAGAATCTCAAAACTGCCTTTGCGCGGTTCACCAGCAACCAGCAGCAGTTTCCATTGGTTTATGACACTGTCTGGAAAGGAGTCGTTTCCTCGGCGAGTTACGGCGGTGATTCAGGCGCCGACTTCGGAAATACATACTACAATGACCACCATTTCCATTACGGTTATTTCATTCACGCAGCAGCTATTATCGGCTCTCTGGATCCAACCTGGCTATCAAGCAGCAAAGATTGGGTCAACATGCTGGTACGAGATGCTGGTAACTCTGCCGCAAACGATCCTTACTTCCCATTCTCTCGCGCTTTCGATTGGTTCAACGGACACTCCTGGGCCAAGGGTCTCTTTGAGTCTTTCGATGGCAAGGACGAAGAGTCCACCTCCGAAGACACTATGTTTGCATATGCGCTCAAGATGTGGGGAAAGACTATTGGCGATGCCAGCTTGGAAGCTCGAGGAAACTTGATGCTGGGAGTTTTGAAGCGCAGCTTGCACAACTACTTCTTGTTGGAGAGCGACAACAAGAACCAGCCCGCTAACTTCATCGCCAACAAGGTGACTGGTATTGTAAGTGGAGATGTCTATTGCCCAGTAACTGAATGTATTGCTCACTCTACATGCAGCTTTTCGAGAATAAGGTGGATCATACCACCTACTTTGGTGCCAATCTCGAATATATTCAAGGGTATGTCGAATCCATCAAGTGTGCCTTGTTTCAATTTTCTGTGACCCGAACTGACCCATGCAGAATCCATATGTTGCCTCTGCTGCCATTTTCTGGATTTGTACGGCGGCCGAATTTCGTCCGCGAAGAGTGGAATGCCCTCTTTGCGAGCAACGCGAGCACTCCCGCATCCAATGTGGTAGGTGGCTGGAAAGGTGTTCTGTATGCCAATTTGGCTTTGATCGACCCCGTTACGTCCTGGAACTTCTTTGCGCAGTCCAACTTCGACTACAGCTGGATTGATGGCGGTGCCTCGCGGACATGGTACCTGGCTTATGCGGCTGGTAAGTCCCTTTAACTTGCGCGATTTCGGGACGTACCGATACTGACGACAATTATAGGCTTGGGAGGAGCCTGAACAGTGAGCACGTTGAGGTTGTTTAGGGCGGTTATTCGTTTATGTCTTTTTTCCTTGCTTCAAGTACCATTCTGCTCGGCTGAACATGATTAAGATGTCTATGTCTGGGATATTTTTTACACCTATACAATTTATACCAATTGTCGATACAAGTGTTGGCCATCTCAATGGGGTGATTGTTGCAACTGCACTGTCTGTTGGGTGCGTACCTAGTAGTGGTCTGCAATGATAGCAGACATCCCGAGAGTGATTGGCTCCCTCGATTTGCCAAGTGAACCTTGAATGTGCTACTAACCCTGGCCAACGCATAAAACCTCTGGATCATTTGTGGCAGTGCAGACTAGCATTTGGTTCACCCAAGCTTGAATCCATGGTTTGACTGACTTTCAAGTTGTATTTGGGGCCATCTATTGAGTTTAGGTGGGTTCTGAGTCTCTGACAGATGATGGAATGAATATGTTCATCAATCGGAAGACATTTCCACCTTTGGTTTAGAGTCACATGGATGTCGAGCACAGTCAAGTGAAAGTACTGTACACACCTTCTTAGTACTGTACAGAAGGTATACTTTGCCTTGATAGACGATATGGAGTAGTAGTAAAATGAATCCAGACTCATTCCGGCTTAGCCTCGGCTTTGCCCCACCCGCCAGCATTGCCCGATCGGGTCAAGCTGATGCATGCATGCAGCGATTCTCATACTCCGGAGAATGTATCCAACAGTTCCTCACTCATCTATCAAGCTCTGCAACAAGTGTGTCCGAAGTTAATCGTACATTGCATTCGCTGTGATGGTTAACCATACACAATTGGGTCCAGACCACGGATGACTTACAGTTCAGTTGCATTCGTATCGCCGGCAAAGCCTAGCTAGTGTCTGTCGTGTCTCCTCCAGCCCGCCATGATTTCATCATAATCTCTAGACGATGCTGGCCCAACGTCATCTCAATCGGGTCTCACCTCGTTATTAAATAGGAGTGCTGCCATGTCTTATTCCCATCCCGCTTCATCCCGCAAGAGCTCCTTCAAATTGTGACGAAATCTGCCGATCTCACGGTCAAACTTGATATCCGTAGGATGCTTGGATTGGGGCTGTGCACCGCACCTGCCACCTGCTTTTGATTCAATTCCACTGCAGCCATCAAACTCGATCCACTCGAGCCTCTTTACAACCAATTATCGTGGCTAGTGGAACTCTCGGAATCTGTTGTTTTCACTGCAGGGTTTAGCGACCTTATTGCGGTACGTACGTAGTAGATGCTCTGAAGCCATCCTCTTGGCTTTCCTTCACAACCCCCTGGGTCCCAATCCCCTCTCTTTGAGACTCTAGCTGTGTCGTTGGACTGGGAGCTTCATCAAGATCCTGTACGATTACCCTCCCTCCCCATTTGTTTTGTCTTCCTGGGAATACGTGGCTTGTGCTTCGGGCTTGCATGGACTCGTGAGGGAAAAGAATCATCCCACGCGACAAGCCACACAACGTTTCATTCCCATCACTCCCGATCACGAGCTCGGACTTTTTGTCAATCGATCCTGCGATACAAACTAATCACCGGCCTGCAGCTCCCAAGGACATTCTACTACTACTCCTCCGTACATTGTTATAATCCCCCGACTGTCGCAGAGTTGTGGCTTTGTTTCCTTGCCACATTACAACTTCATCCGATGTGTAAGTGATTGAACCACAGTTCCTTGGCTCAGCCAATCCATGTTTCAACGGTTTCTGGGAAGCAGTAGTGCTACCACCTTTTGTCTCTCACCTCCAATTACTCGTACTCCACCCCCCATTCCCTCACTATTATCTACTTTCCTTCGCCCAGGTATTGGCATCTCTTCGTTCCCTTTCATTATCCTTTTCGCTCTCTTTTTTTTTCATTCCTCCTGTGCTGTGATCGACGGCGCAGTTTCATTCCCTCCGCAGTGCTCAGTCACCCCATCATTTCCAGTACTAGTACTTCCATTCGACCCTACTCCAACTACAATTTCATTCCTTTGAATTTGTTGCAGAACTTGCAAAGCACAAGTCTGATAACCTAACTCGTTGACCCCACACTCTCTTATCGATCTTGTGGTTTTCCGATCTTCTGAAATTTTTCTCAATACCATCTTTGACTCTATTCCGTGTTGCGCGCCGTGTGTCTTGGTCGACTACACAACTTTCAAGTCTCACTAACGTTTTTTTCTGATATTGGCTTCCTAGCGGCTACAAGCATCCGCTCGACAGTTCGAAGGGTCTCTTGGGGACCCAGAAGAAACATGACTGGATTCTCGTCGAGAAACGGTTCTGTGGAGCCCCCGGATGAGAGACAGGCTTTAATCAGCGATACAGCTCGCATCAACTCTGGTTTTCGCCAGCAACGTCAAAAGCCTCGGCGCCACTGGTCTCACTGGCCTAGACGAATTGCTCATCTAACATGGTCGACTCTTGTTCGTGATTATGTCAATGTCCTTCTCATTTTCGTGCCACTGGGCATCATTGCGGGTGCGCTGCACTGGGATAGCACCGTCATCTTTACGCTCAACTTTTTGGCCATTATCCCGCTGGCTTCACTTCTGAGTTTCGCAACCGAGGAGTTGGCAGCGACTATGGGTCAGGCTCTAGGCGGCTTGATGAATGCAACGTTTGGTAACGCTGTCGAATTGATTGTAAGTTCGCTCGCCAGAGCATCACCGTCATGGTGACAGGATTAACACGAATGATCACTACCAGGTTAGCATAATCGCATTGAAAGATAACCAAATTCGGGTTGTTCAAGCCAGCATGCTTGGGAGCATTCTGTCGAACATCCTGCTTGTCCTTGGGTGTTGCTTCTTCATCGGAGGACTACGTTACTCCGAGCAAACCTTCAACACCACAGTAGCATCGACCATGTCTTCACTGATGACGGTCGCATCCGCTTCTCTTATCATTCCTGCCACACTGTACGCCTCATTAAGCGGGGCTGACAAGGGGGAGAGGAGAGACAACATCCTCATCCTTTCTCATGGCACGGCGATCATTCTTCTTATACTCTATGTGATGTACCTTTACTTCCAGCTCAAGTCGCACGCAGATCTCTTTGAAGAAGCCAACAATGAGATCAATGACGCGGAGAATCAAGCCGGGGATGCGGGGCCGGAGGAAGAAGAGGAAAGACTGCTCAATCCGTGGGCTGCGACAGTTGCTTTGATTATTGTGACGATTCTTGTGGCTATCTGCGCCGATTACCTTGTTGGTAGTATCGACAGCATCGTGCAGAAGACCGGCATGAGCCGTACCTTTATCGGTCTTGTTCTGATTCCGATTGTTGGTAACGCCGCCGAGCATGTCACCGCCGTAGTGGTTGCTTGGAAGGGCAAAATGGACTTAGCTATCGGAGTTGCCATTGGGAGCAGTCTCCAGATCGCCCTGTTTGTTACTCCATTCCTCGTTCTTCTTGGCTGGGTTATGAATGTGGACATGACCCTGCACTTCCAAATTTTTGAAACTGTCGCTTTCTTCATCTCTGGCCTCGTCGTGACTTTCCTCATTCAGGATGGAAAGTCCAACTACCTTGAAGGCGGGCTGTGTCTGGGAATGTGAGTCTCCGAGCGCACATCTTGTCGTTGGCAATCGCTAACCGTGGTCTTAGGTACATTATCCTCGCACTTGCTTTCTATGTTTATCCGGACAGCGCCAGCGACGATGCCCTGTTCGTCCATTGATCGCGAAATCGCAAAGCGATGTAACAGCTTTTACCCGTGCCTCTAGCATTCTTCGGACCTTCACAGTTGTTTCTGCGTAACAGTTTTCCGGTCTCTATCCGATTGCTCAACATGTGGGCTTGGGTCGTCCAAGTGTTACAGCCGTGCTTGTTCACGGTCTAGTCGGTAGCGATAATATCTATGGCTGTTTGTGTTTCAGCTAGTGGCTCTTTATCCTGTCCTTCGGCGGATGAGGCTTGATGACACTGCAGGTCAGTTACAGACAATAAAGTGTAGTCATATTGATCTCGTCCTGCCCCAATTGTGCCTCTATAGTTACTGGGCACAACGTAGGCTTCACCAGTTGATGTGCTGCGCAAAATTACGTTTGGAGGGCCATGGGCCGTAGGGCACGATCAAATGTCAGATCTGCAATCGCAATCCAGATTGACACTGGCTCCAAGCCCACAGTAGGATGATGTAGAGTGCGAGACGTCGTCATAGTTGTGGCGGTTCTCGTTTCCTTTCTTGACATCTGGCGCAATCTTGGCAGCCGATGACTCAGCAACTGTGGAGTGGAAAATCGTTCGCCGCACTTCATGGCAGGGAGCCAGGCCGATATAAGTGACTTCATCCATTTCTTTCTCTCCCCAATTGACAGTCTCCGGTCATTGAAGGGTACACCTACCATGCCGCCGCGTCTCAATCTTTTCACCGCAAAAGCGGTTCCCGCCCTTTGCCAGCCTGCCACGGTCGCTGGTCGCCGCAGCATCGCGACTATTCTGAACGCCAACCGGCCCTCGACCTCCAATGGCGTGAACTCGGGTCTTTTCACTTCGGTGCACATGTCGAAGCGGTGGAACTCGTCTGGTAGTGATGGAAAGGACAGACCAGAGGGCTTCAAGGGCCCGACGGAGGATCCTTTGCCCCATGTCAGTGAAGAGGCGGCAGAAGTCAGCAAGATTATGGACAAGCGATGCGACGGCGTCGCCGCCAGTCCGGAATTGGAGCAGGGAACGCCCATTTCTGAGGTGAGTAGCTAGGCATATCTGCCAACTTCCCACCGAGTCATGCGTATTTCTTTGTGCATCAGCTAGCCACGGGTCACCTAACATGGACCATTCTCTTGCAGATCTTGCAGCGTGACAAAAATGCCCTGAAGCATATGCCCAGAGTCATGCAGGACCAGATGAAGAACCAAACGGGCAAGCGCTCATTCTCAACATCTGCTCGTCGCATGCAGCCAGAGCTAGCAGGGTCGTCGGATTTCGAAGATTCTTCGGCTGCGCTTGTGGCCAACATGGTTTCCCAGGTCAACCAGCAAGCAGCTGAGCTGCATCCTGGGCTGAAATTCGAGGCGCCCACCAAGCCTATGACCAAGACTGACAATTTCCGTTCGCGATATGACGGATTGTTGGAGCAGTTCACAAAGCAACTCATGCGCGATGGCAAGCTGTCCAAGGCCTACAAGGTATGTGAACTCATGGGACCTGGTCTGCTGAGCTCGTGTCATACTAACTGCGATACTCTGGCAGGATATGGCTTTTATCCTTGACCACCTACGGACTTCCCCTCCCCCTTCCAGGAACCCGAAGCGGCCTCTACTTCCCGGCCCCCCGAACGCCCAACTTCCTCTGAACCCTGTCCTCTACCTCACTCTCATTGTCGATTCCGTTGCTCCTCTGCTTAAGATCCGCCAACAGAAGGGTCTCATCGGTGGTGGTGTATCGATGCAGATCCCTGTTCCTCTCGCTGTCAGACAGCGTCGGCGGACGGCCATTCGGTGGATCATCGACGCCTCCGACAAGCGTCGGGATAGCAACTTCGCTATGAGAGTTGCACAGGAGCTGGTTGCTGTTGCGGAGGGCCGTGGTGGTGCGTGGGATCGCAGAGAGATGGTACACAAGCTTGGTATCGCGGGCCGGTCGAACCTCTCATACATTCTGAAACGGAAATAGTTGCGTCTTATCCGTATCACGATAAGGGGTTCAGTCTTAATTCATTTCGTGGGATGGGGTTTGGGTATTGGCTGTTTGCTTGATGGGATGTTGTATATCAATTTTTCTTATCCCAATCTGTGTTTTCCTAGTTGTCCCGTTTATGATCAACAGCCGAGTCAATCTACTAGAGTTCTGTATATTCATGAAATTTCAAATATGAACAAGATCCAGGCTCTTTCACCGACTAACTGATCCCAGCAATCACCGGAAAGGTGAAGCTCCCCGATAACCTCCGGATGACTAACGCACGATCCCCGATTGGGTTGTCTCGGCGTCAGCTGTAACTGGCAAATTCAGGGTTTATCTCCCACGTTCCCCTGCTTCTGCTTGGCCCCCCTGGATCAATTTTACCTTAATAACCTGACTTCTGTAAGCGCCTGGCCTTCGTCTCACTGATTGCTTCTGATTGATATTGATATGTGTTCTGGTGCATTGCAGTAATAGACGTGCGTTGGCTGTCCGCGCCGATCGGAGATTCCGCACAGCCCTCCCCACTACGTACCCGGTGATGATCACGATATAACGATATCACTACGAAGTGACTGTCGCTATCAACATTAGCGTGCTAGCGGGGAGCATTTGGGGTGGTCACACCTCAAACACACTCTTGGCCACAGACCGCGATTGTATTGAATAGATAAATACTATTGCCAGTCTCGCACCCCCCCGCGCGCTTTCGTCGCATCCTTTTCTCGTCCGACACGGTGTCGTCGAATGCCGTCGGCCGATCTGTGGCACGCATCGCTTCTGCGAGGGGTGCCTACACGCACGATAACAACATAACCCCTCCCGGACAAGCTATCGAACTCGTTGAGTTTCCTGAATTTCTCCCTGTCACAACATCGACCGAGTCACACGATCCGCGATCTCGAGCCCTCGCGCACTTCCCGAACGGTACCGTACACAGCGGCACAGACCAGGAGAAGAGGGCCGTCACCCCGCGCACCCATCACCAGCAGCAGCAGCAGCAGCAGCACAGAAGACCGAATAGAATCGGGTTTTGGATAGAAGCCCTTCAACGCTGCGCTCACCGCCATCAGGGCGTCAAATCGTTCAAGATGAAGTTCTCGCATAGCATCCAGTTCAACGCGGTGCCGGATTGGAGTGCCTACTACCTCGCTTACAGTAATCTGAAGAAATTGTACGTCGCCCGACATCTGTCTTTCTCTTGTTTCCCTGCTCATTACGTGCCGTCGTGTGACGTTACACTCGAGGCGCTGGAGGCGATGTGGAGTTTTACTGGTCTGGTCTTTTCGAGTTAAAGATAGTTGAAACTGATCTGTGGTGTTTGCGGTAGGATATACTCCTTAGAACAAGAAGCGCACCGCTCGGTTGGTCAAACCCATGCCGATGTTGAGTCTGCTCCGCTGCTTGACAATACCCCAAATCCGGATGCCATCTTCCGTCGGGCTCTAGATGCGGAGCTGGAGAAGATTTGCTCGTTTTATCAGGTCAAGGAGGTTGAAGTGTTCAAGGAAGTCGAAGATGTGGCTAGACTTGCGGAGGAGTACGCGTCCCGGGCCGACTCGGCGAACATTGACCCGATGAGTGAGAACATGGCCAAGGCAAGAACCATGAGTTCGGGATCGAAGAACAGACAAGAACGGCGGCGTAGCACGTTCAGTGACACTATAGGTGATGATGACGATGATGATGACGATGCGGACAGTGACGATGACCGTGCCGCGCCCACTAATCAGAACCGACCTCGTTCGCATGGGGCCGAATCCAGTAATCATGATGGCAGTCGCACGGAAGATATGGGGGACTCCAGTGTCTGGGCAGCAGACTCCAGGCTTCTGGGGTACAACGGCCGGTCTATGAGCCGTGCAGGCCCTCAGGATGAGCATTTCTCCGATCCTACTGTGGTGGACCTGTACAATGATGGTCTGTCTCTCAAGAAACAGGCTGTTACCGCTTACGTTTCCGTCTGCGGACTCAAGTCGTACATCCAGCTGAACAAGACGGGGTTTTCCAAGGCCTTGAAGAAGTACGACAAGATCATGGACCGTAACCTGCGCCGGGAATACATGAGCGCGGTTGTGGCTCCGGCCTACCCTTTCACGGACTCTACCATGGAGAGAGTCGACGATCACATCCATAAGATCGAGTCTGTCTACGCCCAGGTCATCACTATGGGCAATCTGCCTCTGGCTAGACGTGAACTGCGACTGCATCTGAGAGAACATGTTGTCTGGGAAAGAAACACCGTCTGGAGGGAGATGATTGGCATTGAGCGGAAGGCCCAGGCTGCCAACGTGGGAATCCGTCGTACTCTCCTCGGGGGCGACGATGATCCAGCAGCCGCACGCCGCCAGGGCGACGAGCAAGAAACTAAGACCACGGTGGTGAGAACGCCTATTGGTGTCTACCACTTCCCTCAGTGGGTTTGCAGTTTGAGCTTCGGCACACTGGTCTTCATTTTGGCAGTTTTTGCGACTTTACTTTCTGTTCCTATTCTGGAGAAACCGGAGCAGCAGAATTGTTTGGCTATGCTTGTTCTAGTCAGTTTGCTATGGGCTACAGAGGTATTTTGCACCAATACCAGGCGAATTGATGTGATCACAAAGACAGCGCTAACTGTTACAGGTCATTCCCCTCTTCGTGACATCATTGCTCATTCCTTTTCTCGTCGTGATGCTTCGTATCATGAAGTCAGAGGACAAGCCGCATCAGCGGTTGGGACCGAAAGAGGCCACCAGCGCCGCCTTCGGTGCCATGTGGACGCCGGTCATCATGCTCCTACTCGGCGGATTCACAATTGCAGCCGCATTGTCCAAATACGATATCGCTCGTCGCATGGCCTTGTTCGTGCTGAGCAAAGCTGGTTCAAATCCTCGAGTAGTCCTCCTCACAAACATGTTCGTGAGCATGTTCTTGAGTATGTGGATCAGTAACGTTGCCTCACCGGTGCTGTGCTATTCGATCATCCAACCTCTTCTGCGCAACCTGTCGCCGGATTCCAGCTTCGCTAAGGCCCTCGTGCTGGGAATTGCCCTTGCGGCCAACGTAGGGGGTGCAGCGTCGCCCATTGCTTCTCCGCAGAACATCATCGCCCTTCAGAATATGTATCCCAGTATCAGTTGGGGCACCTGGTTCTTTATCTCCTTGCCTGTGTGTATCATCTCTATTCTGCTGATCTGGGTTCTGTTGCTGGTCAGCTTCAATGTGGGCAAGGATACGACGATTGTCCCAATTCGACCCCTCAAGGACAAGTTCAGCGGCGTGCAATGGTTCATCACCATCGTGACTCTGTCCACCATCGGCCTCTGGTGTGGCAGCCATCAGCTCGAGCACATCTTTGGTGACATGGGCGTGATCGCCATCATCCCCATGGTTCTCTTCTTCGGCACCGGGATTCTCAACAAGGAAGACTTCAACAATTTCCTTTGGACCATTATCATCCTGGCAGCCGGTGGCCTGTGTCTCGGCAAAGCCGTCACCTCTTCCGGGCTGCTGCATACGCTCGCCAATGGCATCCGGATGCGTGTGGAGCATCTTAGTCTGTATGGAGTGCTCATTGTCTTCTCCGCCTTGATCTTGGTGATCGCCACCTTCATCTCCCACACCGTCGCCGCGTTGATCATGCTCCCCCTGGTTCGCCAGATCGGAATCAGCATGGCGGATCCTCACCCGAACCTGCTCGTGATGGCCAGCGCTTTGATGTGCTCCGTCGCCATGGCCCTGCCTACAAGCGGTTTCCCCAACATGAGTACGTATCCCATGTTTTGCTTTCCAACCTGATATGCCACTGACACCTTGTGTTTCTAGCTGCCATCATGACCGAAGTCCCGCAGACCGGCCAACGGTATCTGACTGTCCGTCACTTCTTTACCCGCGGCATCCCGGCCAGTTTGATGGCGTTTGTTGTGGTCGTGACAGTGGGATATGGGTTGATGTACATCGCCGGGTTGTAGATGGGGACGATTGATGTAGACCGTCGCGTGGTGTGGGTTTGTCTGGGGGAGTGCTTGCCGTACATGTGTGTGTGTGTGTGTTGACGAGTTCATCTTCTGTTTCAAACTGTAGCTTTGATTGGTTTCCAGGTATAGTACTGGGTCTGCGATGTGGGAGGTGTGTAGCTCTTTAGCTTTGCATGATCTGGTTGTCTTGTGTTCGTGTTGTTTGAACTTGTCTTGTTTACCTGTGCAGAATAGATGAGATATAGAGCGTTAATTGTTTTTCCTGTCAATTACACACTGAACTAACTGCCCTTGTTACTGGACTGGCGTGATCTGAAAAGAAGGGGGATTGATGCGGCCTACAGTCAGTCGTTCTTCCTCTGGTCAGTTGGATCGGGGATGCCCTACGGAGTATACCGGTCTGGAGAATACTGAGTACTAGATTCCGTATGCACGTGTAAGAAGTATGACTAAAATGGCTATGTCATGGATAAAAGCCCTGCGAAATTGAAAGAAGCTAAACCGCCGGAGACAGTGCATCCACCCTGATTAAGGCAGTGTAACTGATATCGAATGCGAATTGAACCTGGGTGGATATACTATAACCGAAAGCACAAAAAGACACAGAGAAACAGGAACCTCAACTTAGAGCTCAAATCATCCGTGCACAGATCAAGACTTCCATAGCTCACATCCCCCACTCTCTTTCTCTCTATCTCCTCCTCCATAGCACCTGATGACCGACTGACTTGGACTAACTAGTATGTCTAAACACAATCCGCCGTCGCCATCATCTCGCTTCCCGACACGATCTTCGCGGGCCCATGAAGGATTAGAATTTATGGCACAATTGCAAAGCAACCTAAAATATCGAAGAGGATATAGCAGGAGCAAAGGAGTTCATCACATTCATATCACCGCCATTGACGGGAGATGTCAGAAGATATAGCGAGTTATTAGACAGGAGGTGAGCACACGCAACTAGAATCCTCTAGAAAAGATGAGATGCAGAGAGACATGAGGACAAAACAATCAAGCAAGCAGGAAAAACGGGGCCAACTAGACAACAACACTGATTCAAAGGAAGAAAGAGAAACTAGAGGTATCAAAACCGTGATGAAGGCATAATCATCAAGACACCACCCACCCAGCTGGGGGATGCTGGTGGGTGATGGGGAAAGTAGCATCGTTACAGAAGAACCAACCAGTGTGAGGGAAGGGACAGCAGCACTTTTTCTATCGAAAAACCTCTTTGCTTTCGTCCGCAAAAAGAAATTGCCAAGAACTGGAGAGAGAAGATCGAAGAGAGGATCGTAAAAGGAAACAGAAAAAGCGCGTGTCAGGTTAGTTCCTACGAAGAAGTTGTGGACGCGGTTAGCTACTATTCGGACTATGAGCTGGCTTCAAATATCATCGGGGAGACGGGGGGGGGGGAGGGGAGAAGAATCAAGGTAAGGACTTGATGGGGGCGGGGAAGAAGGGTAGCACTTACAATAAGCCCAGAGTCAGATCACCATGGATCTTAGCCTTCAGTTGAACTTCAATGTCCAGGTTGAGATCCAGACGCAGTCGCAATTGTTCGTCCTTGCCGTCGCCTTCATCCTGCTTGCCACCACCGAGGAGGCCGCCGACGGTCTTACCGGCTCCCCCCGTGATGCCACCCAGCGCTTGACCCGCCGTGTTCTGGACGAGATCGCCTGCCTGGCCGACTCCGGGGAGTCCACCGAGACCACCGTCCTGACCTCCCTGCTGCTGCTGGGTGCGCTGGCGGCGCTGACGGCGGGGCTTCTCAACGGCTCCGTTGTCCATTTTGTTGTTGTTGCGGGGGATGTTTTCCGGCTCGGATTCTTCTTCTTGCTTGTGGATTTTCTGGGGAGGACGCGAACGGCGTTTGCGCTGTTGCGGGTCCTTCTTGGGAGGCTTGCTGTTGTCTTCGGACTGTGGTTCTTGTTTGGGTTGAGGGCCGTCGGATTCAGGCTCTTCTTGCTTGGGTTGAGGCTCCTCTTGCTTGTCTTGCTGCTTGTTGTCTTCTTGCTCTTCTTGCTCTTCTTGCTTTATCTCAGGCTCTTCGGATTTCTCCTCGGGTTTGTCTTGTTCTTGGGATTGTTCTTGGGGTTGATCCTGATCCTTGTCGTCTTCCTTGTCTTCGTCGGGCTTCTGCTCCGATTCGTTGCTGTCTTTGTTGTCTTCTTCGTTGGGCTGATCAGGTTGCTGCTCCGACTGGTTCTCCTCCTGAGGCTGGGGGGTACCAGGAGTGTTCTCTTGTTGAGGGGTAGAAGGGTTGGAGGAAGGATTGTTGTTCTGCTCGGACATGATGAAAGAAGAAGAAAGGAAAAGAGAAGAATCTCAGGAAGGATTGCTGGGGGGCACAGGCACGAATATATCTGGTGGGTGGTACCAGGTCTGCTGATTATGATTACGGGGTCGCAGATCTATATAGGGCTTTTTGCTTGCACCTTACAGGCTTACAACACGCACTTTCATGTCCGTCGCAACCAATCCCACCCGGTTATTCTGGATCTGGGCTGGGTAATTTTGGGGTCATTACTCGATTATTCGGTCTCGGATTGTTTCGACAGACAAAGCGAGAGGCAAAGCAAAAAAAAAAAAAAAAAAAAAAAAAAATGCCCCGCTGGGTATGCAAGGTTCTGGGCACCTTGAAGCTACCATCGACGTCAGCTTGCGCCGCCGACGAGGGAGGCGATCGTCGTCCGCCAGGGCTTAGAGAAGCGTACAAGGGAAAGATGACGTCGGTTGCTGAGGGGAACAAGAGACAGATTTGACAAATTGACAGTGACAGGGCCGTCAGTATCGGATAATATGCTATTTATTGTTTTGATGGACTTGTGCCGTGTGTCTCCACCAGCTTATGCCTCTTCCAGTCATTGTGGATGACGCCAACAGACGTCACTCTAAACGGGCACAGATTTACTCTCCATCGCAATACATGGCCGTTACCTTCATTACTACCCCCCAGACATCACTTGGGATATCTACAATTTTTGGAGGGGGGGTCTTAAAAGTAGAATTGAGGTTGATGGAAGAAAAGCCCAAGAATGTGTCATGGTCGGAAGCGCAGTGCCGATTGACTCATTTTGCCCCCTCGAAATTGTTCGTCCGTTGAAAAATGGATTGTTGAAACCCGCTCGGGGCCTTTCCATGGCTCTTGCTTTCGGCCGTACCTCCTGCCCCGTGCCAGGTACCGGGTACTTGCTCGGTACGTAGTACGTACACTGTGGCATACTTTCTCTCACTCAGGTCGCCGCTACCAACCCATGTACCGAGAAGTACTGTACTTCGGATAGTACCAGCAATCTACGTACTTCTCCCCATCATGACGATGAATTCATGCACTGGTCATTCGTCACCCCCACAAGTACCACCACATACCCAACCCCCCTTGCATCCTCAAACGAGGGTCCAAACGTGGCCCGGCCCATCAATCATCGCCTGACCGCGCAGCTGGAGCGATGATGACGATGATGTCGTTGATGTCGTTGATGTCGGTAGTGCGGAGGCGCTTTTGTCCTTCTGTCTCTATCCTTCCCTGTCTCCAAAGACGTCATATCACTTTTCTCCCCCCAGTCGATCATGCGAAATATTGATTCCCTGCCCGTCATGCCTGCTTCTCGAGAATTCGTCCTTTTTCACAGACCTCCTGCTCGTACCATACTCGATTCGATAGTGTCCATCCCCTTTGATCTTGTGGCATTCTGACAATTCGCCTTCCGTTTGCCAGTCTCCGTCCCATCCGTGCTCAGCCATCTCGTATGTAAACCCACTGCTGTCGCTTCGGCTCTTCCTATTCCTCTTTTTTTCTCCTTTTCTTCCATTTTGCTTGATTACATGTCCTTGATCTAACGTGCCGAGCCACTAGCCACAATTGATACATCGGAAGATACACAGATTTACAGAGTAGTATAAACTGCACGTTTGCCCTGATTGTCGTCAGCGATAATTCCCCCGGTCAACCAGCAGTAACCCGCAATTCACCATGGCCACCGCACAAGCCGAGAAACCAAAGACTCAACAGCCTCCCACTTACACTAACGACCCGGACGAGTCGGAGACTGACTACGACTCCGACGACTACATCTCCGAAGAAGAGGAGGATCAAGCACCTCAACAGCAGAAGCAGACTGCCCCGCGTCGTCGGCGACCCCAGGCCAAAGGCCAGACCTACGACGATGATGATGACGATGCAGAGTACTCCGACGACTATGCGTCGGATGAGTACGACGATGACGATGACGACTACGATGACGACGAGTATGACGGCGAGGAGGAAGTTCAACAAGCCATGGAGCGCTGGCAGCCTACTACGATAAGCAGCAGGGACGGCAAGAACCAGAGTATCTCAAACGGCGCAATGGATGCAGCGCCCTCGAACGACCAGAAGGGCGATGACGAGGAGGGTATGCGCCTGAAGCTGGAGCTGAACTTGGAGATTGAGGTCGAGCTGAAGGCTCGCATTCATGGTGATCTGACATTGGCTTTGCTGTAAGTAACCTTCCCTTCACCTACTCCTGATCTTTCCTCCCCCGTTCATTGTCGTTGGTCGTTTCTCTTGGTTTGCCTCGAAGAGGGCCTTCGAGGTTATTTTCCCATGAGAGGATTCCTTCGGGGGTTTTTCTACTTGGTAACACCGGAAAACAACTTGAACGACCCCAAAACTCCCGTTGGACTCCGCTTAAGCAACTGCAATAGAACCTGACGGATTGACGATTTTTATTTGATGAACGCAGCGCATGATCCGACATGCTCTCCATCGATGTGATTCTGTTGTGTGCTTCGAAACTAGCGACCATTCTGTCTAAATTCCTCATCGAGAGGTTCCTCGTCATCGCAAAACATCCCGTTCTCCACCGCCCGTGCTTGTCGCATTACGACGATTATGATAGGACCCTTATCTGACTGGTTGATACTGTCGCCTTGGTTATTGTGCTGTCAGCTTGTTTTTCATAGATTTTTGGCTAGTGTGTTTATTGTGCCTAATTATACTCCCATCGTTGGTTGTTTTGTGTTATAGCGGTAAATGTAATGTTTGATTCCAGCTCAATGCACATGGACGTGGCTCGAAGTATTGTTTTAATCTGGCCGGTGATCCATGCATAGGGCATGATTGCTTATGTCTATCTTATTGACAAGGATGCGTGCGGGCACCATGCTTACATGACTCAGCTCAGAGGCACCGGTCTTGTCCGGGACGACAGCTTATGTCCTTATATCTCCGTACCGCTATTGAGAATTGTCCTCTCGTATGTAGTTCACCTGTGCTGCTACTTAATAGACAGCCACCGGACGTCGCCAAAATCCCGGTGCACGAGTTGCACCAACAATTTGGAAGACCATAGTGAGCATGGAGACTGACATTTCTTTAAAATATTATTATGTCAAGAGCAACAAAAGATAGCTGAAGGCAAGAACTCAGAAATGGATAGCACCGGGAAAACACATGCAAAGCATGATGGGGTGATTTCACTTTTAGGAGTGCCAACCCGAGGTCGGGTCTCTGGCCCCAGAATGATGCTTGGCATCGCCAAAGGGAGTCCATCGTCTCAGGTGCAAGTCACGCATGTCCAACAGTGTCCTACCACCCCACTCCATCGGGACCTCCATACAATACTCAATTGAGTCACCAGTTATCGAGCAGTATATAGAGATACAGACTTACGAAACCCTACTTGTGACTCCTACCACCAAGTTACCTATTTACATTCCAAACCGCAATCCGAGAGCTAAGGGAGCAACCCGAAAAAGAACGAACGATAACCAAAGATGTCTCCCCCACAGCAACAACCCCAATCATCATCACCATCACCAACCCCCTCCAACAATGGAATCTCCTTCACCATCACCCACATGAACGCCAACCACCAGGACTCCCTGTCCTACTACCTCCGCGTCTACAACGGCGTCTCCGCCGGCGAGGCCTCCACCGCAACCCTGGAGACCATCACCCTCTCCGACCTCGTCATCCGCACCGCCGATAAGAACCGCTACACTGTGCCCCTCGACCCGCCGCTCCAGTCCTTCAGCGAGACGCGTGCCCGCCTCGTCGCCATGCACAAGGACTGCCTCGACAAGCTTGGCCTCTCCGACATCAAAATTACGACCTACCATGCTCCGTCCCGGCCCTCAGAGGTTATCACGTTCTTGGTCTGTCTCTCGGGCATCCTCGCGTTCAGTCGGCGCGCGAATCTCCTGCCGGGTGGCTGGGTGTACGAGGGACTGCGCTTGGGGAGTGGGTGGTGGTGGCCCCGGTGGTTCGCGGCGTTCTGTGCCAGTATGCAGCCGGCGGTGCTGACGTTTGTGCTGGTCGTGCATGCGTTCGAGGCGGCGATGTTGGCATATACGAGGCTACGGAAGCATGGGGTTGCGCTGGGGTCGGGGGCGTGGTGGGGGTGGGTGCTGTCGACGATTATCGAGGGGTATGGGGGGTTCCAGCGGTTTGATCGGGTAGTGAGGGAGGAGGAGGCGAAGAAAAAGTGAGAGGGCGATGTGTATGGTTGGGGGTGTGAGGGTACGGGTGTTGTTGCTTGTTTGTACAATAAGGTCTAGTTAGGCTATGCTGTGACTAACTAGTTGCTCTATACACTGACTCTAAAGTTTGTACTTGTTGGTCTACTCGGGCTGGGTCTGCTGGAGACTGTTTAGGTTTAGTTCGAAGTCGCCCGAAGAGTGCTAGTGTGCTTCGGTCACGAGTCTTGGCGGCAGATTCACCAAGTGGGCGGCAGGGCCAAAAGTGTGACCGCGAAAAGCGCCTGGCGAGAGGCGGGATGACTCAGCTTATCACATGACTGATCTAACCCCATGCAGCCTAGCCCGGGGTAGGGCAAGTGTCCCCCCCCAACAAGCGAGCCACAGTGCGAAATTCACGAGACAGTCGACGACCAGCATCAACAACTCTTCGACCAACCCCATCGACCCTTGCCCGCTGCGTTCCTGGTGAAGGGCTGCAGGATTAGAGGTGAGTTCAGCTGCAAGCATTCCTGTGATATTCGCGATTCCTTTTTTGAAGTTCTGGGGTTTTTTTTTCTGTCTTCCGGTTTCGTTCGATGAAGTCGATTTGGTGCGCGTGCAAGTCTCGATCTCGAAGAATCTCGAATTGGAAACCGTTATCAAGAACGGGGAGCAAGAACAAGGCTAGCGGATAATTGGGACATTATCGACACGAACGATTTGCAAGGAATTTGGCACAAGAAGAATCCTCGCATTTTACCGATCGATCTTCTTGGGGTGGACTGCCTTCCGTCCTGCCTATATCCGCTCGGATCGCACAATTAAAACCTCGATTTTGATCACTTTTCCCCTGCTTCGACACGACAACTTCCACGACAACGCGACGCTTTCGTCGCTTGCTCGCTCTTTCGCACCACCACCTGCACTACTCGAATCGGGCGAGACCGGAGGAAACAGAAGAACCTTTTGCGCTTCAAAACCAAGGAATATCGCATCAGACATTCTCTCCAAAACAGGATCACTAATTTTCTCTTGGTTATCAGTCCCCACGAACAGCAAATATGGGTATCTCACGCGATTCGCGCCACAAGCGCTCGGCCACCGGTGCCAAGCGGGCTCACTACCGTAAGAAGAGGTATGCAACCATATCGTCGCCTGTACACACAGCCTGCTGGCTGCACGCACGGAGCATGGACTGACAAACGTCGTAAAGAGCCTTCGAGAAGGGTCGCCAGGCCGCCAACACCCGTATCGGTGCCAAGAGAATCCACCTGGTCCGCACCCGTGGTGGTAACCAGAAGTTCCGTGCCCTCCGTCTCGACTCCGGCAACTTCTCCTGGGGTTCCGAGGGTATCTCCCGCAAGACCCGTGTCATCGTCGTGGCCTACCACCCCTCCAACAACGAGCTGGTCCGCACCAACACCCTGACCAAGTCCGCCGTTGTCCAGATCGATGCCGCCCCCTTCCGTCAATGGTACGAGGCTCACTACGGCCAGCCCCTTGGCCGCAGACGCCAGCAGAAGACCGGTGAGGTCGTCGAGGAGAAGAAGAGCAACAGCGTCCAGAAGAAGCAGGCTGCTCGCTTCGCTGACCACGGCAAGGTCGAGGGTGCTGTTGAGAAGCAGTTCGAGTCCGGTCGCCTGTACGCCGTTGTCTCCTCCCGCCCCGGTCAGAGCGGTCGTGTCGACGGCTACATCCTGGAGGGTGAGGAGTTGGCTTTCTACCAGCGTGCTATCCGCAAGTAAGCTCGATAATTCAAGTCTTGCTGCTTAAAAATTTTTCCAAATTTAAATTACAAATTTTTTTAAAACATGGATATCTCGCGCGCGGGGATGGTCTCTGTGGGAGGGAATGATAACGGAGTTTAGCCTTAAGTTATTGAAATGGTAGCTCCGAGCAATGGATGAATTACGCACGGTTGATGATCACTCGTTGTCTCGTAGGTGTAGTTGTACGGTAGTAGTTATTACCTTTCGTAGTTGAATGCTTAAGTCGAGTCACCTTACTCTAGTTAGTGAGTGCATTACCTTGTTGGACTTAGCTTGAGCGAGATAGTCATTAGTGTAGTTATCGTCTGATGACGAAAGAGGAACCTCACCCTTAGCGATACTCCCTCCATACTTCGCCGTTATACCTCACCCCCCCGACCCCTCCAGCTATGATATAATCCCCTTCTTTCTCTTCACCTGTCTTCTGTTTTGACACTACAGCTCGCTTATTCCCCCCCCTCCCCCCGCGTACCAAACAGAGAGACAGTCCATAACCACCAAAAGAAACAACAACCACCTCCCTCTCCAACACATCCAACACATCCAAGAACAACCAAAATGCCCAAAGACCGCCACCACCAACCCACACACAAAACCACCCTCCTCCTATTAAGCGACACCCACACCCTCACCCCCCAAGATCCAAATCACAATCAAAATGAAAATCACCCCCAATCCCAAGAAACCTCCTCAGAAGCCCCCATCGCAGACCCCGCCTTCCTCTCCCCGCTCCCGCCAGCCGACATCCTCATCCACGCCGGCGACCTCACCAAAGTCTCGCGACGCCACGAACACCTCACCACCCTCTCCTATCTGAAATCCCACCCGGCGGCCCTCAAACTCATCGTGCCGGGCAACCACGACATCACCTTCGACGAAGCCTACTACAACGAACTGGGCCACCACCGCCACCGCAACCGCACCGACCACACCGCTCCGTCGGCGAGGGCCTCCGCGGCAAATATCTCGTCTGGAAAAGCGGAGCCCGGGCAGGTGGAGGATCCGGAGGCGATACGGCGGTTGTATACCTGCCAAGAAGCGTGGGAGGCGGGGATCCGGTTATTGGAGAAGGAGGGGGTTTATGAGTTTGAGGTGGTGGTGGGTGGTGCTGGTGGTGGTGGTGATGGTGATGGATATACTACTACTACTAAGGAGGAGGGCAAGAAGAAAAAGATTCACTTCAAAGTGTATGCCAGTCCCTGGACGCCCGAGTTCTGTCAGTGGGCGTTTGGGTATGAGCGCGGCGTGGATCGGTTCAATCCTCCGGATCCTGCATCCGCATCGCCTCCAACAGCAGAGCAGGAGGAGCAGCAGCAGCAGCAGCAGCAGCAAGATGACGACTACGCCCCCGAGATCCGCGAACGCACCCGCACGCACGGCAGCACCGGCTCCCGCGGCGAAGGGGCCCGGGGCACCGTGGCCGCGAATTCCGGGCGTGGCGGCTTCGTGGCCCCCGCCCCGATCCCGGACGAGATCGATCTGGTCATCACCCACGGCCCGCCCTATGGGATCCTGGACCAGGTCGTGCCGAATCATGTCAGCGTCGGGTGCGAGCATCTGTACCGCGCGGTCAAGCGGGCACGGCCGCGGCTGCATGTCTTCGGCCACATCCACGAGGGGTATGGGGCGATGCGCCGCGAGTGGAGCACGGGGAACGACTCGCTCATCCAGTGCGATCGCCAGCGCACGCGCGAGGAGCACTGCGCGCGCGTCGACGTCAGTAAGACCAGCATGATGCCGTTGAATCCCGGGCAGGAGACCTTGTTCGTCAATGCCAGCGTGGTCAGTGTGCAGTATCATCCTATCAATGCGCCGTGGTTGGTCGAGATGGAGCTGCCGGTGGCGCCGGACGCAGACCACCCCTGATTTCATCTTACTATGATAGAGCGGAGGAGATAAGACACAGAAAAGAGGAGAGAGCAAACGCTCCGGTTGTTCATTTCTATCACTAGTTGTTTGTTTCTGCTATATGCTTCTCGAGCCTGCCTTCATCATCCGTTGTTCAGTTATATATCCCTCCAACTGACTTTGCGTTTGACACCATGATGACTACCTATACACTTGGAAATGGATGTACGTCTGAATTGCACACCCTGCAGCACACTACCTAATAATATACACCTATCGACCTCACTCCGCAAATACATCACCTTCTCCAGGGTATAGTTTGAATGCAAGGTCCGGACAGAGAGTCAAATGGTATCTTACAAGAATATTTTGATCACAAATGAGAATCCAATCGAAGAAAAGAGGGAGAGGAGAAGTAGGTATCTCGGTAATGAAGTAGAAAAAAAAAAAAAAACCATATCCTGCCTGGATCAGCGGACGAAAGGATGCGACAAGAAGAGAAGAAGATCACAATAGTGAAGAGATCAAAGCACTCGCTGCAATGCTAGAACAAGACAAGGTCGAGTTTTCAACGCTGGTTAAAATAAAAAAGAAATCAAGGAAATTCAAGTTAAAAGGTTTAATGTCCAGACATCAGGGAAGAAATGAAGGTCGAAAAAGGAAAAACAGATTATAAGTTACTCCTCCCGCAGAGGAGTGTCCGTCTTGAAATCAGGGCGGCTGCCCTTTCGACTGACGCCCTTGAGCAAACTGAAGCGCTTCATCATCGAGTCGCGCTTCCCGTGGCCGTGGCCGGTCGGGCTGGTGAGCTCCGGACTGCGGACAGACGCCATGCTGCTCCGCGTCACTGGCCGTGGATAGTCGCTGATGGAAGGGATTGTCGACCAACCCCCGCTCTTTGGGCTGCTTACTGACGTACGGCCTTCGACTGTCCCATTCGTGTGGGATGCCGTGCGGCTGATAGAATCATTCGATACGCCAAGCGTATCCCGAGAAGCACTTCTCGACCGCTGTCCTTTCTGGCTTGGGGTCTCTTCAAGGGCGTTGCTGCTGATTGACAAGGACGAGCTGTGCTTGTGCAGGACGTCGCCAAATAAGCTTCGCCGCTTGGTCTGAGTATCGCGCGATTGGACGGTAGTGCGACTCTGGATCGTGGCTGCATCATCGTGATCAACTGATTCCGCCTGGCCTGGCTCTCCGCCCTGAGCTCCATTGACCTCGGTCTGCTTCTTCGGCTCCTCCTGTACCGGGGTCACCAAATTACTTGGAGCATGATTCGTGCGTTTGAAGGGGTTCATCACGCTAATCCGATGGCTGACTGAATGCTTCGTTGAGTGCTTACGGCCATGTGCCTTGCGTGAGGAGCGAATCAGCTCTTGCTCCGGGCTCAAGGCTCGCGAAATAGACTGCTTTTGGCGACTGTCCACCGATCTGGGAGACTTGCGGGGAGATCTTGGAGGGGTCTCGGGCTCGTTTGGACGGAGGGAGGCAATCTCCGGCGCGAATGCCTCTTCGAATCGACGCATCAATTCCGCTTGCGTAGCTTGATGGGCCGGACGGTGGTAAAGCGCCAGAGAATGCTTGATAGCTAAAGCGTGGTCAATGAGAGCTACTGCGAGTGCATTCTTCATCGGATCGGCGGGCTTGGGTGTCACTAATCCACCCTCGTCCTCGTCGGGCACGTCGTCCAAAAACTGCCGGTAAGAAGCAACACAGTTTGGAGTGGACGCACTCAGCTCCAATAACTGCTGCACTGCTTCCGTAAGATTATTCAGACTAGTATCTTCTCCGGATGCGGCTCGTCGCTGTAGCGAGACTAGCTCCTGAGTCTTGCGCCAGGTTCTTTCAAGTGCGCTCTGCAGAGGCGACAGTGAAACCTCCTTCACCTCCACGACTTCGCTGCGACGCAGAATGTTAGGGAAGGGTTCCGCGGTGGTGTAGATAGCCTTCTCCACCCATTGCTGCGTCACATCCGCGTCGCGCACATGTCTCCTCAGCGTTGTTGTGAATTGGTAAGGCTCGGAAACCAGTAAATGATCTCTGACTGACTGCGGGATTTTGGACCGTTGGTAAACCGGATGATCCACATCGCGGTAAATACTGACAGAGCTGATCTGTAGAAATTGGCCCTCATAGTCTTGGATCTCACCGGACGACATAATTTGCGCCGCTGGATGCTCCTTCTGCATGCGATCCACAAAGGAAGCCATCCGCTCGTTTGGAGCCCCTTCGATGATGAACTCCTTATCACGCAGAGTAAGTGGGAATCCGAGTCCCTTGTACAACACACGGAAGTATCGTGGAATTTGCTTGTCTTCCTTCGCGATGTGGTCGTAAATCTTAGCCATCGAGCTCTGTGCCCGGGAGAGCTTAGCGAAGTCCATGGTTGTCTCTTCGTACTGCTGTGTGAGCTCCTTATAACACACAAGCGCATGCGACCAAGCTTTCGCATCCTCGAAGTACTGAATAATCGAGAAATACAGCGACTCCTTTCTCTCGAATGGGGTTTGCTCTGGGAAAGCAGGGTTGAGCAGTTCCGGCAGTGTCCGCCTCGGATCCCACTCATACAGATCTGCATGGAATTGGAGCGCCAGGCCAGCTTCGGTGAGGTTGCCCGCGGCAGCCTGAACCTGAGCAAGTTCGTGCACGTAGCGTATGAAGATATCCTCGCGGCCCATGTCTTTCATGTACTTCATCAATCGAAGGGTATGCAGGCTTTCAGCCATAGACCCACCCTGCGACGCCACAAACAGGTCCAACAGCTCATCCACAGTGGCTATCAAAGCACCAACTGCTTCAGAAAGATCCTCATCGAACTCGGAGTAGCCCTCAAAATGGTCCATCAACTCTTGAATGAACAATTTTTGCACCACGCTGCCACTCATATTCTTGCGCTTAAACAGGTTATCGAGGCTGGAGATGACCTCCGTTTCAATGATAGACAAGTCCTGGTTGAGTCCCCACTCGCTCAGGATCATCGTCCGCAAGATCTCGACAGCGACATGTCGTAGACCCTCGTGCACGCTAAGGCAAAGCTCGATGATGGGTGCCACCAATCCCGGAACATACTGCACCTGGTAACCGCCCAATTTGCTTAGCCCATAGCGCTCACTCTCCTCATCGGTTGTTTCCCAACCGATGGCTTCCCAGCTAGAATGAAGTAGATCTGCGCCCTGCTCTCGAACATCGCCAGCAATCTTCCAAATGGCGCGCCGCTTCTGCTCGGGAAAAGTCTCAAGGGCAAGCGCTTCACTCGAGACCACCTTCAGCAGAGTAGTAAAGAAGTTCTCCCAGAGTCGCGTGTCGAAGGTTTCGGCTTCTTCCGGTGCTGGAAGGAACTTCTTGATCAGAATTCCTGCAAGAAACTCTAGACTCTTGACTGTCGCGCGGTGGTTGTAGACATGAACGCTGAACCAGCTTTCAGGGTACGCTTCACAATTTAATATTGAATTGTGCACCTCGAACGCTTGAGAGAGGAAAGTAGACAGCTCTAAGCCTTTCAACCGAGGCCGTTTGGGACTGGGAACTGCCGCCGTAGCGGCCATGATTGCAGAAAGCTCGACCAATGCCTCATCAAGCCGCTGCGACTGTTTTGAGGCCTTGACTTGGAATGGGAATGTCTTACTGAAGAGCAAGGAAAGAAAGCTTGTTTCTTCCACCCCATCCGGTATGATAGAGTAATATGATGAAACGATCTTGGGCATGAACTCATAGAGGAGAGAGTCGGGCTGCTTCAACAGTTCCGCTACCACGGCGCAGCACAGACGTACTTGATCACGATAGAGATCAGACACAGTACCTGTCGCACCCCAGTACGGAGCCAACCAGCTGATACAGCTGGAGATCAGGCTTCGTCTCTCGGCGCCGGAGCTAAAGATCTCTAAGCGGGTATAGTGTTGAATGAGAACCAACTTATACAGTATCAGCATACCCTTGACGTCCTTACAGGCGTCCATAAAGCTGAGCGCGATCATAATCGTTTCGTCTCGCCCGAGAACTTTGGAGAGTTCAGGCAGCCACGTATGGAAATGCTGAACCACCAGTGTTTTGCTTCCCACCGTCGCAGGCGACGTGTCCTTCATTAGAGCCTCCAGTGACTTGAAGATAGTATGCAAGTCTCGATTGAAGGTCGACTGGACTCGCGTGATCCCAATGCCTTCCTCCTTGGCCTTCTGCTGTTGGCGAGCATTGATGATGAATTTCAGAACATGGCGGCCCACCTTGAATGTGGCCCGCAGATTGCGTGACTGTTGTGGATCCGAGTTGGCCTGAAGAAGGCGTGAGTAGCTTCGAACAAGGCACGGCGTAGCAAACGGGAAGTTGAATTGGTTCTCAGCATAATGGTCAACGTGGGGACCGAGGTTGAATCGTCGGTCGTGCACGATTCCCAGAACAGTCACCAAGTTGTTGAAAATCAAGTCTTCATACTCTTCGTTTCCAGCATTCTCGACCAATATGCCGAATAATGCATCCAGGACACTGCTGAGTTGTTTCACAATCTCGATTTCGGGTACGAAGAGAACCCGCTTGAGGGTGTCCAAGACTTCACTGACGGGCCGCTCTTTCCAGTTCAAAAGGCTCAGTATCACTTGATCCTGGGAAAATTCGGTGCTACACAGATGCGTCTCCAGGCGCAAGGTTGCCAAGGGCCCAGTGATAGCTTCGTCCTTTGCTGACTCGTTCTTCCCCAGTGAGCTCCACGGAAGAGACAGGTAGGCGCCCTTTCCGTTCTCGATGCTCGAGGTACACTTGTCGTACGCATGTAGCAGAAGCGAATGAGGACCATCTCGCATAAAGGCCTTGTTATCCCATAGAGGCATCCAGGCAAGAGCAAAGGGGAACTCGGGAGCATCTGCGATACTCATTATCAGATGCGACCCAGGAATCTGGTCCGTTGGGATGTTGAGACGAATGGTCTGATTCCACGGTGCTCCGCGCTCAGCGACCGTGGTCCGCCAGGCAGTTTGTGAAGGTTGGTTAGATGCAGGGAAAACGCAGCGGTCAACGCGTGCTCCTGACGAGGTCCGGACCTCGAGAGTCAGCTGCAAGTTTCGAAGTCCCGTCAGCGTCGGTACAGGCACCTGACCCGACTGGGGATGCGAGAGGAGGGCATCATTGGGGAAAGTGGCATGGGAGATGGTGACGTAAATATCCGATCTAGGTTTGCTCGGGGCCTGAGCGAAGCCGATGCGTCTAGTCTGAGTGACATTCAGCATGGTCGTGGGGTTCTTCCGCACCAAGGCATCTGAGTCGGGATTGGTGTGCGGGTAAAGATGAAGGTGAAGTCGAGCAGCTGGCTGGGATCGGACATATTTCCCACTGAGACTTGGAAGTAGTGTGCGAACCAGACCATCGAAACCGTCAGCGCGTCCTTCTTTCTCGTCGCTCTCATCAGATGGAGACCAAATGTTGAGCACTTCTTCCGTATCCTTTTCTGAACGTAAAATCGGGGAGACTTCCAAGAAACCAATTCCTAATGTACGGATATGGGTCGTCTCTTTCGTTGAGCTCGGTTGGCTAGCGCTGGTCCGTTCCTTGTTGCTGGAAACACTCTCCGAGGATCGAGGAGGTCCTTTGCTGGCCTCTTTGACCGCTTCAGTGCCCGTCGCGCCGCGCTTAGATGTCCACATCATACTGCGACGGGTTTTCAGACTGTTCTTCGCGGAATGGTTGGCTATCGTCGGCGTTCTACTGACAGTGGCACTATCGCGCGAGAGTGACGATCTTGGTTGAGCTGCGGCGCTGGCCACAGAGGCGGTTTCCGATGCGCGAACGGCCACAATTAAATACAACTTGGGGCCATTGGTCGAAGCGTCGTCGCCAAAGTCCGTGTTGCTCAAGTCAGTAAAGAGCGTTTTCAGTTTGTGGCTCTGACCCATATTCGCAAACTTGTCAGGCGATGGGATATCCAGAAGGTAGGTCTCTGACAGTGGAGTCAGAGCGCCAGTCTCCGACTGCGAACACAAGTAGAGGGCCAGTGTCACGGGGCCTGGTGCATTGCCCGAGACAGCATTCACCTCGAGGAGCAAATGATGCAGAGAAGCCGCATCTGATTGCTGTGCAGGAGCACTATCAAGCATACTCATCTCGGATTGCAACTTGGTCAACTGGACCGCGGAATCATCGCCTGTAAGTAGCCGACCCCTCTGTTGAGGATCTCGAACAATGACTTCTCCGCCCAACGTTTTGTTACCCTGGACCAGCTTCCATACTACCTCTTGTCGCAATTGGACTTTCTCCTTGGCTGTGAGCACATTGTATTGAAGTTGCCGCCTTGCAAGGTCGAGTTCTTGTACAATCTTTGACATTTCTTCGACGGTATCATACTGGCGGGACAGTAGCAGTTGGTGCAAATTAGTGGAATGCCATTCACGCAAGCAGGATGCGATCTCATCCACGAGCGGTTCCGACAGCGATGTTGGTGTTTCGTCACCGATTTTAAGCATTGGCACCGGTGCAGCCGGCTTGGGGGCGGTAGGGTCCCGCGGAGCCACGATGATAGGTGAGGTCGGTGCTGAGACAGCTCCCAAAGTGTGGCTCACAAGTGAGCGCGGGCTTGACTGATCATCTTCATCCAACTTATGAATGAAGATCTGCGACGGCTTGCCTTTCTTCGCAATCACTACATCGGAGACTTCCCCGAGCGGGCCCTCGTCGTCGTGGTAGGAGGTAATATTATCTCTCACGTCTCCCTCGGTACCAGGTGTCAGAACCAAGCTCGACCGGTCTCCATTGGTTATAGTTCTTTCGCTGTCACCCAAAACCTCCCGGATTTCGACACAGTTCCGCGGGAAGACACCCGAGAAGACTCTTGCCTCGAGTGTTTGACCCTTGGTGCTGGTCAAGCCCGCCAGCAGCGACGGTGGAGCGACCAGGTATCCACGACACCATTCCCCATCGGCGCCTCCTTGCTCAATTATGTACAATTCATCGCCAAGCTCAAGGGGTAGATCTGCCGGAGTGGAAGGCTGGAAGGGATAGATAGCCACAGCAAAAGCGATGCGAGGCAGAGGCCGCCAGGGCATAACTGCGAGGCGAGGCGGCGATCTCGATTATACCCCGCCGCGGTGGTCTTCGAAGGGAGGGGGGGTGGTGTCCGTCTCAGGAATGAGAACACCGCCAAAGCGGGGTCGCGAGGGGTAGAAGGAAATTTGTGGCCTGAACGATTGAATTGAGGGAGCGCTACATGCAGTCGTCTGGAATCAGTGGAAAGGAAAGGAATGTGGGCAATTCTTCAGCCGTGTGCGAATGCGACTCAATTGCGCTCCGGAGGCGTGTTTGTCGTTCTTGGGGTTATTTTGTTTTAGGGGGCGGGGAGCGGTTTCTCTGGTCACTAGATACGTCGCGGACAGTGTGCGGTTAGTGAGTGAGTTTCAAGTACGCGAAACGCAAGCGTCAAGTGTATCGAAGCGAATCGAAGGAGGGTCATGATAAGCGGAAGTGTAAAGAGAGTCTGTTCATCAAGGAGCGCGAGTCGCGAAGAGTTTCGGGGCCCGTGACCACCATTATCAATTGAAGCAGGTATAACGTAGATGAATAAATTGTGAATTGGGGAAACGTCAACATCCCGAGCATCGGGACGAGACATCATTGGCATGGTTTGACTAATTTCAGCGTTGCTTCTGCCTTGAGCTTTGGATGGATTCGTGGGTGCGGCGGCGCACACCCTCTTTCTTCCCCTAAAGCAGTTGAAGTGGGAGTGGAGCCCAATTGCTCACTTGGCAGGAACTGTGGAGCAACCTCTCACAACTGAAACGTAGGCCAGGGGTGGGAGAGTGAGGAAGACACTTACCAGAATAAAGATATACCGACAAGCGAGGGAAGAAGAGGAATGAGTATTGTGGGAAGGTGGTTGAAGCTCCGAGTTGAAGAGGAGAGAGAGATAATTGAGTGGAGGGGCTGGGGGGGCGACGAGGGGGAGTGGAGGAGGAGGAGGAGATGGAGAAAAAGAGGGAGAGTTTGAGAAGTTGAAAGGGTACGTACGGAGTACGGAGTACGGAGTGGTGGTTTAGTTAGTGGTGACTGTGGTGTAAGTTAGTAGGAGAGAGTCTAGTCAAGATAACATTCAAAGAGAAAGAGAGAGAGAGAGAGAGAGAGAGAGAGAGAGAGAGAGAAGAAAAGGCTAGACTTGGCCAGGCCACTTTTGATCTCATTTAACTATTCATTTCCATAAATGAATGAGTTGCCAATTGTCGGCGAAATTTAGCTTTGATTGATTGACAACCAGTTCTATTAATTGCTATTGTCAACTTCGACGTACTGTATGTCACTACAACAAGTATTTACTGTATAGCTGGCTCTGGACGTCGCGGTCAACAACCAATCCTCAGCTTCTTCTTGTTGTTTTCTGCCTTGCCAACTCGGACCTTGGTTACAGTATATACTTTTTCCCTTGTCCGCGCATTTACGGGAATCTGAGACTAAATTTCATCGCACATCCATGGATCCATCGGGAACGAGCCGATCGATCGACTTCCAGTTCTCCAGTTGCAACAGCAGCACTAGTAGCAGCAGCAGCAGCAGCAGCAGCAGTAGTAGCAGCAGTAGCAGCAGCAGTAGCACGTTATGGTCCCAGCTCATTGCTTTTTCTTTGATGTTTCTGACAGGCTAGATGCATGAGAGCAACGCTTAACTTAATTAACATGACCTAACTAATATGACTGATAAGTCAACTACGTTGTTGAAGTATCGATTCATTCAAAGCCCAGCAGCAGCACAGACCCATTCCCACCCCCCCTGAATCCATCCAATACTGGCTCGTGTCGCGGCCGCAATTTTGGCCTTTCCTTCTCGGAGTCAGTTACTTTATCTGCACTGGGTGAAGATCGGCTGCTCTGCAAACACAGAACCAGGGGGTTCACCCGTTCTCTCTTAGCCAGATACAGTAGATACTCGAGTGTTTCGTTCTTGCAACAGTGATCGGCGTCAACCTGCGGTCCCTGTAACTTGACGGATGTTATCCTAGTACAGTAGTAACTAGTAATTTCTGAACTGCCTCGAGCCTTCTACTGTAGTCTCTAGATCAGTAAAGGCGCATTCCGCATGGACCACTGGTAACTTTCTTTCTGACTAGGGCCCGAGTCCTTACTTCGGATCATGCGTGAATCCGCCAGAGACCAACGTCTGAATCGGCTGCCAACTGCCAACCAGATTCCTCCTGCTTTCCTGCACCAGCAAATCCCCACAACTCCCTGCCACACTCAGAATCCAACAGAACAATGCACGCACTATAAATACAGAAAACCAGGCAAGGGTACTCGGGAAAAGCCTGCAGCTCATATCAAAGGAGAAAGAGGTAAGAAAAAAAAAAACAAAAAAAAAAAAAAAAGG